AGGCAACAGAGATGGTTCCTGCAGGTGAGGCAGCCACAGTCAAAGCCAGCGCCCGGGCTCAGAGCCAGGCCCGGTGGACAGGGCGCTGGCAGGGCTGCTCCTTCCAGGAAGATCCAGGAGGGGGCACCAGGGGAAGCCACGTGCTCTCAGGTGCAGGTCTGACCACTCTCACAGCAGGGCCAAGCCCATGGCCTCAGAGTCCCTGCCTGGCACTCAAGTTCTCTACCAAGAGGACAGCCTCCACCGGCCAGATCCTTACTCCAGGCTGTTTTCAACTCCACTGCAGGCTTTTAGCAAAGAGGATGGGGGTTGGTGGGAAGATGTTCTCAGCTCTCTGGTTTGAGAGTCGAGAGTTGAACCATTTCATCCTCTGTCATCCCCTTCTCCTTTTGTCTTAAATCTTAACCAGCATAAGAGTATTTTCCAATGAATCAGCTCTTTGAATCAGGTGGCCAAAGTATTAGACCTTCAGTTTCAGTCTTTCCAACGAATATTCAGGGAGGATTTCCTTTAATTTTGACTGGTTTGATCTCACAAGCCTTGAGACACAGACAAAAAGTAAATAAAAATATATAAATACATACTTACCTAAAGGGAATTAGGTCACTACAAAAACAGGAAAGTCTGGAGGAGCAGACACTGGGCAAGGCCTCCAGGAACGGCTCCCAGGACACATGGGAAGGGCTCACCAGGAGAGTTACCCTCTGCCTGGGGAATCAGAGCCACCTCTGAATTCACTGCTGTGGGCGCCATGGCCTTGCTCATCAAACCCAGGAACCAATCTGTGTGTAAGGACAGAACTCAGTGCTCACCCAGAGCCCAGGCTGCAAGGGAGTCTGGGAAAGGTGGGTTTTAGCAACACTAAAAGCTGCCAGCAGAAAGGGTAGTTGATGCTGAGGGCCAGTTGAGCTACTGCAAATCCCCAGACCTGCTTCCTGATCTCCGTGAATACATGCTAAGTCACTTCCATCGTGTCCGACTCTGCAACCCCATGGACTGTACCCTGCCAGGTGCCTCTGTCCATGGGATTCTCCAGACAAGAATACTGGAGTGGGTTGCCATGCCCTCCTCCAGGGGATCTTCCCAACTAAGGAACTGAACCTGTGTCTCTTATTATCTCCTGAATTGGCAGGCAGATTCTTTACCAGTAGCGCCACCTAGGAAGCCCTTCTTGATCTCCAGTGGGTATTAACTTCAGTGTTTACATCTGGCGTTAGTGTGAGGATGAAATGGGAGAACTCGGGGGAAGCTCTTGGCTTGAAGCTGCGCCAGGGCCTGGTTGGTGCTTGTTACCACCACTGAGACCTCTGCTCATAGCAAATCTCACTCTGAAATGGGCTTGGAGTTCACTCCTCTGTGGAGAGTTCGCTTCAGAAAGTTTAGAACAAAGGGTTTTGATAGGGTGGCCCAACAATGGGCTCCTTCATCACCAGCCACCCCGGACACGCTGCCCTTGGGGCTCTGGTCGGCTGCTCAGCTATGCCAGCCGTTTTTGACTTTCCAGCCAGGAGTGTTATATAAGCTGCATATTTATTTTGTTTATCAGAAATTCTGAAAATACCAACTGGGTGTGGGCTAAGCTGCTTAATTCCTAAAGGCAACAGAGATGGTTCCTGCAGGTGAGGCAGCCACAGTCAAAGCCAGCGCCCGGGCTCAGAGCCAGGCCCGGTGGACAGGGCGCTGGCAGGGCTGCTCCTTCCAGGAAGATCCAGGAGGGGGCACCAGGGGAAGCCACGTGCTCTCAGGTGCAGGTCTGACCACTCTCACAGCAGGGCCAAGCCCATGGCCTCAGAGTCCCTGCCTGGCACTCAAGTTCTCTACCAAGAGGACAGCCTCCACCGGCCAGATCCTTACTCCAGGCTGTTTTCAACTCCACTGCAGGCTTTTAGCAAAGAGGATGGGGGTTGGTGGGAAGATGTTCTCAGCTCTCTGGTTTGAGAGTCGAGAGTGGGGGAGAGAGACACAGACAGACAGACAGATGGGGAGAAACCACACACCCTTTGTTCCCTCGAGGCCCTGAAGGGTGTCGCGCTTCCCTAATGACTGCAGTGACACCCCGGGAACGCTGCCTAGGCCTAGTTCCAGAGCACCAGACTCACAGAACATCTTTCCTTTGAACCAGGGCCAGACATGAGCTCACGAGTCCTTGTGTGACCTTCTGGGAAATCAGTGTTCAGACTGGCGGCTGTTTTGCTGAAGAAAGATGACAGCGCTCTGTTCCCCGAAGCCCATGTGCCTGGTAGGAATTTGAGTGACCCGTCCTCTCTCCCGGGAAGACAGAGGGCAGGAGCAGAGGGGCCCAAGCCCAGCCAGACACCCTGGCAGGAGGAGCATCTCCACCCTGAGGTCTTTTTCAGAGAACAGGCCAGCAGTTGCTAGGCAGACAGATAAATGTCTTCTTCCTCTTTTTCCCCCATAACTGTGTGCACCATGACATAGGCGGGAGAGGCAGCTGCAGAGCACAGGTGCGGTGTCTCCTTTACCCATGCCATGTTGATCTTGGCACAGGTCTGCTGGGCACTCTGCAAGATGACATCCACGTAGAGCTGGAGGGCTGGAGAAGAGCGCATTGCTGCCCAGATGGATACAGACCAGCCCCACATTCTGGCCCCACTGCTTCATTTGGGCAGTCTCTCTATTTCCCTGAGCTTTGGTTCTCTCATTTGTAAAGGGAGAGAAGCATACACCTGAATAGGTTGGGACCAGATGAAATATGACATCGTGGCTAAAGCTGCCGGTCCAGTCAACACCTCTACACACGCGCCTATGCTCAATACACATCCCGCAGGAAATCTGCACAAAGGAAAATGCCGTGAGGCAAGCTCAATTTTCTCTTGAATCCTTTTCTCCTCCTTTTCGTTCTCCTCCATCTTCAAACAGATGTACCAGACTCACAGAATATCTTTCCTTTGAACCAGGGCCAGACATGAGCTCACGAGTCCTTGTGTTATGCAACAAAACTGTTATGTAGACTATCTAACCTACTTAAGGAAAGAAACCCAAGGACTTCTGCAGTCTTCATTAGCCTCTTATAAGTTAGTCTCATCTGGTCCATTCCTTTAGACCATCAGGAATCAAGGACCAGAGTGAAGGAAGAAAAAGAAAACAGACTCTAACACCTATTAAATGCCTATGTTGTTCCAGGCACTTCCATATATGTTAGCTCATTTACTTGCATGAATACTTTCTGTGAGGCTTAAAAAAAATTTTTTTTTCACTTTTAACTGTGGTAAAATACACATAACCTAAAATTAAACATCTTAAAACATTTTAAAGTGCATATATAGGAATTCCCGGGTGGTCCACTGGTTAGGACTCCATGCTTGCACTGCAGGGGGCACAGGTTCAATCCCTGATTACAGACCTAAGGTCCTGCAAGATGTACAGCATGGCCAAGAAAACCCCCCCATGAGAAAAATTGTGAAGTGTGTCAGCTCAGTGCTGTTAAGCACAGTCACACTGTCCTGCAACCAGTCCCCAGAAGTCTTTTCGTCTTGCAAGACTAAAGCTCTACACTCACCAAACAGCTCCCCCTCTCCTTTCCCTGAGCCCTTGGCAACCAACATTCTGCTGTCTATGAATTTGATGACTCCAGGGATCTTGTATAAGCACCTCCTAGGGTACCACATCAGTGTTTGTCTTTTGGTGACTGGCTTATTTCATCTAAAATGATGCCCTCATTGTTGGTATTGTTGATGTGTGGCATCTGTCAGGACTTCCTTACTTTTTAAGGATGAATAATAATAGTCCATTGACTGAATTGATAAGTCTGTTTTTCTATTTCCTCAATGGACACGTGGGTTGCCTCCACCTTTTGGTTACTTGTTTTTGACTGGCTGTCCTTAGGTTTTTGTTTTTGTAAGTTATTTCTTATTTAGCTTTTGACCACACTGGTTCTTCATTCCTATGCGAGGGCTTTCTCTAGCTGGGGGCTCGGGCTTCTCATTGCAGTGGCATCTCCTGTTGCAGAGCACAGGCTCTAGGGCGCACAGGCTTCAGTAGTTGTGGCTCATGAGTTTAGTCGCTCCACAGCATGGGGGATCTTCTCAGACCCGGGATCGAACCACTGCCCCTTGCACTGGCAGGTGGATTCTTATGCCACTGGACCACCAGGGCATTCCCTGTGCTTAGGTTTTGACCTCCTCACCTAGAAACATTTACAGGCTTAGGTGTTGGTTTGCTTGTAGACCTCCTTGGTTAATTGATTTGACGCTCCCCTTGAGCAAACAGTTGGGTTCAGCAAACCGCCTCCTGTGCAGGTATGACAGAAAGTGTGGGGAGGGGGTGTCCTCTTTGCTCCCCAGCTGGCTATGATCTGATGGGTCTGGGAGCATCCTTGGCCCTTCACACTAGCACATCTGCCTCCCTAGCAAGACCCACGTGAAGGGCATGAAGGCCAGGGTTTGCTCAGTGTGGTCACTACAAAGACATGATGCTGGGGTTGGGGAGAGAGCTGCAGGTTCAGGGGTTATGGGGTTGCAAGGGACTTACCTCCATTCATTATCTCAAGTAGATCGTGAGGATGGAAGGCGGGGGCACCGTCTGGTAGCGGGAAGGAACCGCCAGGCCGTAAAATGACCAGACGTGGAAAAAGACACTGAAAAAGCCAAATGAGTGAAAAGAAATGAATGATACTCAGGCCCTCTCCCTCAGGGCGCACAGGGTCTCCCATCTCTGCCCCTCTGCCCACTGCTGCCCGTCTCCTCCCCTCCCACATGGCTGCCTCCACTGCCAGGCCCCCAGCCCTGGGTTTAGCTGGACTCTGTCCAGTCTTGCCCGGGGCCTGGCCGAGTTTGCCCAAAGCTGAGTCTCCAGCCCCGCCTTCTTTTGGACCGGCTCCACCCTCGAAGTCCCGGGAGAGAATCTGATTGGCCCAGCCTGGCCAAGGCGGCCAATAAACCTTGGCGGAGAGGCAGTCACGTGTCACAAGGTCAGGCACGGTGGGCGGGGTCCCCGGGCCGGATGCGTGGTGTATGGTGTGCTGGCCCCACGTGCTGCCCGTGCTCGCTTCCCGAGGGGCCGGAGGCAGCCAGGCCTCAGTAATCCCCGCCCGCTGCGCGCCGCGCTGGTCTGACTTGAGTCTCCTTAATCGAGGCCGTTATTCCCCACTGGGCCATCTACAGCCAGGGCTCAGTTTACTGCTTGCCCTCCCACGTGGGTTCCTGGCGGACCCTGGAGACGGTGACGGTCTTGGCTGCCTTGACCTCACTAAAGCCTGGTGTTTGGGGCCAGCCGCTCCAGACCTGCTGACCACAGTGGCCCAAACTCGAGGTTCGTACTAGGAGGGCTGCCTGCGGCTGGCGCCCAGTCCCTCAGCCCAGCCCCTGGATGGTACAGACCCCGACTGTCGGGGCGGAGGAGTTCCCACGGCCCGCTACGGGTTAGCAGCTGCCTCCTGACCATGCTTGGTGGCCCCAGGATAAGGCCCCCTGAGCTGGGCTGTCCCAGCCCAGCAGGTGCATCCTAAAGCCTCCAGTTCAGGAGGGGAAATGGCATCCAGGGAGGGGAGGCAGTAGCAGGTCCCTTAGCCCTGACAAGCCGTGGCAGTTTCTTCAAGGACCATCTCAGAGACAGCCGGGGTTAGTGGTGAGAACCAGCAGTAGGCCTGGCTCAGGAGGCCCCTGCCACAGGGGACAGGCCTGGGAGAGGGGGCAGTGGGGACTTGTATCTATTAATTTAAGAAGTAACCGTTGAGCTTGGTGCCTCTGAAGCTCTTCATCTTTGTCAAGGGAAATAGTTGGGGGTAGGCTCGGGCCGCAGTGTGCTGGGCGAGGTGGTGGAGGTGTCCAGGCCAGTGTTCTGGACCCCAGTTGCTCTGGAGAAATCACCTGGGTGGGTCTCAAAGAATGCCTGGCCAAGGAATCCCCTGGTGCTAAATCCAAGAGCGTGGTTCTCCTCAGTGGTGCAGTGACTGAACACCATCGCTGGGCTCAGAGGAGGCGAGTAAAACTGTTTCCTCGGCGAACTGCTGGTTACTCAGGTGCATTTAATTTAAGAAGATTCACAGAGCCTTAGGCTTATGTGTGCCCTTCTGTATAAATGTTATACCTCAGTAAGAAGTTAAAGAAAAAGGGAAAAGAAGTTGCTGCCTGGGCCTTAATTAGATCCGAACATCTGTGGTGGGACCTGGGTAGTGGTGTTTTTTGGAAAAAGCTTCCTGGGTGATTCTAAAATGCAGTCATGGGTTAGAACTGCTGGTTTAACCCTGAATTTGGTGTCTCCATTCAGTACATTCTGGTATGCTTCTCCCCAGGCAGAAATTTAACTCGGAAGGTCCCCTAGGAGGGCCTCCAGTCACTGTTAAGAGTTGGCCAGCCGGCTGTGTCCCCACCACCCTTGCCAACCTTGGTGTCCATCAGGACCCGAGCCCAGACATTCCAGTGAAGTCTGGCTGGAGCAGGGAAGGGTAAGGGTGTAGAGGGAAGAGGCCACCTGAATCTAGGAGGTAGAGTTGGGGGGCAGTCGGGGTGGCCTCAGGCTTTCAGGAGATGTCAGTCTTGCTCAGCCATCCGTCCTTTGCCCTGAAGATGTGTGTGAAGCTGAGGGACCAGGCCAGAGTCTCTCACTCCCCAGAGGAGAGCTGGGGGTTTGGCAGTCACATGGCAGGGAGGAGGGGATCAGAGAGAGGGACTCTGGCCCCTGACTTGGGGGTGCAGGGCGCAGGGCAGCCCCAGGGCAAATAAAATGGCTTCAGGCCTGGTGAGGTGTAACCAAGCGAAGAGAGGCTTGCAGGGGCTGGCCCTAGCTGTGCCCGGCAGGTCACTGGGTCATCAGTTCCTGGAGGGCGGGACTCATAGGCCAGGCCCACCCCCAGGGGGACTGTCTTCCTGCCGCTGCAGGAGTTGCAGCCAGAGTCGAGGTCCCCTTGCGATGGCTCTGTGCTGGTGCTGGCTACAGCTGGTCTGTGGTGAGAGGGACTCTTGAGCCCGCCCCTAACCCCCACCTAGATGACTATATCAATTTGTCCAGGTCACTGGCTTCTGGCTTGCTTCCATATGTGCTTCCTCACTGAGCCCTTCTGGGCACACTCCAGTGCCTCGTGGCACAATGAGGCTGCAGGGCATGGAACTGGCTCCACGGGAGGCATCCTCTCCTTGGTTGGATGCCTTCCCAACCCCAGGGTGTGTTGGGGGCTTGCAGTGACTCTCCACCCTTTCCCTTCGCCACCCCCACCTGTCCTGGGACCTGAGAGCTTTGGGTCCTTCTTCTCTGTGAGGGTCCCGGGCAGGTCTGAGCCCCTCCCTGCTCTGCTCTTGCTCAGTGTGGGGCGTGGGTGTTGTGCCAGAGGGGAGAGGATGGAGATGGGACCGTGGAGGAGGCAGGTCCCCAGGGTGCAGGGTCTCCAGCTCCTCCCACTAGGAGGTGGATGCTGCTTCCTCTCTCGAGCTTGAGCCAGGTGACCTTGGAAATTCCCGCTGCCATCCTGGAATGTTCCCTTGTCAGGCCAGCTCCGAGACATGAGATGCCAGGCTGCCCAGAGAGGCCCCGTGACAGAAGACGGAGCCCCAGGGAAGCACCTGCTGACCGCAGGCACCCAAGGCAGACAATCCCATCCAGGTGAGCCTTGGGGCGAATACAGATGGTTATTCAGTCGCTCGGTTGTGTCTGACTCTTTGAGGCCCCATGAACTGTAGCACCCCCAGCTCCTCTGTCCTTGGGGTTCTCCAGGCAAGAATATTGGAGTGGGTTGCCCCTTCCTTCTCCAGGGGACACAGAAACACAGGTGCAATAAAAACACCAGCCCGATGCTCCAGCAGCCCATGTGATATAAATGGTGGCTGATTAAAGACACTTGAGTTTGGGGTACACAGGTGACACCATTGTTATCTGTTCAGCATCTCATCCTTTGGAGGAACCAACCTGCCCCTCCAGGTGGTCCCCAGCACCCCCATCCCACCCTCCCCCTCCTGTTGCCATCCCAGGTTGACTCTGCCCCAGTCTTCCAGAAATCTGCCTGTGAGGGTGAAGGTTTTCAGAGCTTGATCATCTCATGGACTTGCTCTTAAAAACCCAGATTTCCTCATTCTAGTCACTCAGCTTCTTTACAGATCACCTGCCAAACACTGATCCCCTCCATACTCTCTCTCCCCCTCCTGTTAATTAGTTTCTCCTGTTTCTACCAAGGAACCATGATTGACAAACGTTGCCAGGAGGGAGGAAGTGGTGGGGCGTGCTCCCAGAGCCAGGGGATGCGGGGCAGGTTCTCACCTGAGAAGGGAGAGTCCCAAAGTCCTGGGGTCTGTGGCCCCGTCCCTGAGAATTGAATCGCTGCTCCTCTCTGCTGTGGGGGGTCTGAGACCAAGGACGCGGGGCAGAGGCTGCACGGCCGCCCCTGATAGCGGGGGCCGCGGAGAGGGGCGTCCTCACCTGGCCAGGGGACCCCGCGTGGGACTGGGTGGCCACTCTGCTCTGAGACTCTGTGCCAGTTCACATGGGCTGAAATCCTGGAAAACCAAACCCAGGCCCGAGCCTGCAGGCACTAAACGTGGTGCTGGCTGCATTTGCAGTCACTCCAACAGCAGTGGGGTCTTTGTAGAAAAAGGCCAGAAGTGGAGGTTTGAAAGTCAGCATCTGGGCGGCCCCCACACGGGTGGAAGGGCAGGGATTCCCACACCCCACCCCACCCACCTCACCTCTCTTCCTTGCACCTGTGAGCAGCAGGGGGCAGAGAGCATGGAGGGGGACGTGGAGAAGTTGTGAGTTTTCATCATACAAATTCTGGGGGATGTTTGCAGATCCTCAGCCAAGAACCTGCTCTCTGGACAGTGGGCTGACCCTGACCTGCTTAGCACCCTGGGGAACACCAGGGAAACCCAGAACCCTGTAGGCTAGACCACTGAATGCTCTCCACCTGTGGGGCAGAGAGCCCCTTGTCAGAACTGACCCCAGACCCCTGCCCCCCAAACTCCCTATGGACCCTGGCTTTACCACCTGAGTATGAGTCTTTTTCACCTGGACAGAGAGTCCTTGGCCCCCTCAGCCCTGCCCCACACCTGCACTTCCTGGGCCTTTGCTGCCGACCTCCTGGAAGGGGGTGGTCAGCCTGGTGACTCGGGGTGCCCAGACCTCTGTCCTGTCCAGGGCTAGTGGGTTGGGCCACAGGGCTGGTGTGCACAGGGGGCAGGGCCGGTCCCATGGGTGGCAGTGGCCCCTCCTCCGCCCCTTACTCATTAGCCAGGCTGTACGGTTACCCTGGCCGGCTGGGTGAGGCTGGCTGAGAAGGTGCTCAGGCGTGCAGGGTGGCTGGGTGGCCTAGGCTTGGAATGGACAGCCCCCAGGACACGGTCCCCCCAGGCCAAAGGAGCCGCTGCCCTGCCCTCCGCAGGCTGGTCCCTGTTGGCTTTGGAGCTGAGGCACGGACACTCTTCATTCTTTCTGGACCCCTGGTAAGGAGGCGGGGGTAAGGGGCTGATGAGGCGGGGGGCAGGGGCTGCTCAAGGCCTTCCCCAGAAATCACCCGCAGTGACGGTGTCCAGGTGGCACCAGGGGCCACCACCCAGAGCCTGGCGGGGTCTGACCTCTCTCAGCGGCGGGCAGCCCCCTCCCCCCCGCCATCAGAGGGACCAGGTTTGTCCTCCTTCAGGAACCCACGGGGAGGCTGTGGCCCGAGAGGCCAAGGGGAGCCCAGGGGTGCCTGCACGGGCGTTTGCATCGGAAGAGGGGCCTTTGCCCATTTATTTTCAAAGGGAAAATGGCTTCAGGTACATTTTTTTTCTGACTGTAAAGACTACTAAATATGTGCTCCTTGTAAGAGTTTGGACAACAGTAAAAGAAGACACTCCGTTCCAATCCCACCACGTGGACAGAGGCTTCCTAGGGTTTTGGTGTCTTTACTCCTCTGTGTTTGCATGCGGCCGGACGAGGTGGTTACAGTGACATCACCAGCTGTACCCACTCCAGCGCCCCTGCAGGGGAACCAGAGCTCGGGTTGATGCTGTTGCCCCGTGGGGAGGGGGCAGGACCCGGGCCTTCTGCCACCCAGACTCGGCCACACACTCGCTCCTCCGCTGTGGGCGACTCGCCCTGTGGCCCAGAGGGGCTTCTCGGGGGTCAGGGCCTGGAGAGCCTCTTGCCAGGAGCTGGGCTGTGAGCAGGGCCCTTGACCCCGGCCCCGGTGTTCAGTTCCTCTTCCAGATGCTGAACTTCATGGTCTATGTCGTGAGCACGGTGTTCTGCGGACACCTGGGCACAGTGGAGCTGGCAGCAGTCACCCTCTCAGTGGCCGTGAGTACAGCCAGGACCTTCTCCCCTGGGCTCCTGGGAGAAGACATGGCCTGAGGGCACAGCTGGACCTCCGGCCTCGCCCGAGCACACCCCACGCACAGGCCCGGCCAGGAGGGGTCTCCCACTGCTGGGCAGCCCCCCAGGTGCAGGGTTCCCCTCGGTCTCCTGAAAGCCTGCGTTCTCTCCTGTGTGTGGCTCCAGTTTGTCAATGTCTGTGGAGTTTCCATCGGGTTTGGCTTGTCTTCGGCCTGTGACACCTTGATGTCCCAGGTAGGTGGGCCCCTGGGAACCAGCAGGGCTGGAGCCAGTCCCACAGCTGCTGCAGAAAGGGCAGGGCTGGGCACCCACCTGAGGCCCTGCAGTGGCCCCTGAATCTGGGAACTTGTCAGGCCTTTGGGGGGCAGCTGTCCCTGTACACCCACCCTCAGGGACCACGTGCTCTAGGGACCAGACCCTCCCCTTGCCAGGGTGGCCAGGCGAGAGAGCTCTGGAATGAAAGACAGTCCTCTGACCTTGAGTCCTCTGACTTTGACCTTGAATCCTCTGGCCCTGTGTGCTGAGGGCACACAGGGGGCCTGCCGCCCTTGGGAGGCCCACCACCAGGAGGGGCTCAGCTCCGGGGGCCTGGGGCTCACGGTGGGCCTGGCTGCTGCTCACTCCCCAGGGAGACTCGCACGCGCTGGTGCTTCAGGGATGGTGGGGGGTGGGCAGTGCCTCGCCCATCAGGAGTCATCGGAGTACTGGGTACCGTGGGTGGACAGGGGCTGGAGCTCTGCAAACGGTTGCTGTGGTCACTCTGAGCCGCTGAGCCCCTCAGAGGAAGCCCTGGGCAGGGATTTGGGGGAGTGGTGGAGGGCTGCCCAGCGCACCCACCTCCCCCCCCAGCCGGCGAGAGGAGGGCAGGCGCGGGGCGGGCGTAACCCCTGTGTTCTAGAGCTTCGGCAGCCCCAACAAGAAGCACGTGGGCGTCATCCTGCAGCGGGGCGTGCTGGTGCTGCTGCTTTGCTGTCTGCCCTGCTGGGCGCTCTTCCTCAACACCCAGCTCATCCTGCTGTTATGCAGGCAGGACCCGGCCGTGTCCAGGTGTGCTGGGGCGGGCAGGGGCGGGGCATCCCGGGAGGCCTACCCCGCCCATGCTCTCTCTGGGTCTCCAGCCATCCCGCGGCCACCTGGTCTGGGGACTCTCCCCCACAGCGTGCTGCTCCAGCTGTGGCCAGCAGGGGGCAGACTACAGCCCATTTTAATTGAGAAAAGGCATTTGTATGGGGTTTGTTTGCATCTGGTCCCAGCGTGGGCCCGAGCCCTGCAAAGGCCTCGGAAGCAGTGACATGCACACCCCACATCGCAAACAGTGGGAACAGGACCGAGCCCCATTTCTGAAGAATTACACACTGTGTTGTTAATGTAGGATATATTTCCTCATAGGAATACCTCGCTCGTTTCCTGTTATGTGCACTTCATGTAGTTAATTCTTAACATGATGGAACCTTGTTTTCCCCTCTTACAAACCACACATCACTCCAAATTGAAGTTCCCCAGCCCTGAGACCCCGTGTTTGGGTCCTTTGGTTCTTGGGCCCTGCCTTCTGGCACCCTACCCCCACTGAGGTTCCAGGTGTCTCTGGGGGTCTTGTTTCCAAGGTAAAGTCTGCCAGACCTTTCCCCACCCTCAGGGTATAGGCTGCTTGGCTCAGAGCCTGGTTCTTTCTCCTGCAGGCTGGCCCAGGAGTATGTGCAGGTCTACATCCCAGGCCTGCTGGTGAGTTGTCTGTGGAGCTTGGATCCTGACCCCCTACTAGTCTGGAGCCCCTCAGCCCTCATGCTGGTAGCCAGAGGGGCTGGAGAAAACTTCTCATTGTGGTTGGTGGTTGGTGCATATTGAACTTTTAAAAAGTAGTGCAACACCTTTTTCTGGTTAGAAAACCATTTACAAGAGAGATTCTGGAAAGCCTTAGGAAGAAAAATTTCAAATCTTCCATTATCCTACTACCCAGAGAAAAGACAGGTTAATCTCTCTCTCCAGGGCTATTTCTCTTCATGGGTGTGTGTGTTATCAAACATAGAGACACACCTGTAGTGTGAAATGGGGCCAGTGTGTGTATGTTGTTTTGTAATCCACTTTTTCCCTTTCAAATATATCATTAGTCAGTCTCTAGATATGCTCAAATCACTGTCCACAGTACCCATTTCAAAGGCCTCACAGTATCCCCCCTTTGCCATAACTTATTAACCAGTCCCCATGTGTTGTGTATTTAGGTTGTTTGCAGTGGTCACTCTTATAAATTAGGTTGTGATTAACATTTTTATAGAAAAATCTTTGTGAATGTCTGTAATGATCCCTTATTGGAATTGGAGTTGCTCTGTCAATGGCTTTTGATACTGGTTTTTATCAATTCTACCCTCAAGAACAATAGTCTCATCAGCACAGAGTATTATTAAAATGTTTTCTCCAATTAGAAATAGGTTATTTTATTTTTTAGAAATAGATTATTTTAACATGCACTTTATTGCAAATGAATTTGAGTGTTTTTTCATATCTTTGATCATTTTGTTTTCCTTCTATGAACTGCCCACGTCCTTTGCTTATTTTAGTGGCTTGACCTCTTCCTAATTATTTTAACTCTTGTTAAATAATACCTCACTCCTTTGACATATGTGTCACAAATGTTTTTCAGTGGCCTTCTAATTTTTTGATACTTTTTTCTTAAAGAATTTTTAATGTGTACATAACAGATCCATAAATCCCATCCTTTATGATGTCTGTCTTTGATGAGCTTAAGAACAGTCATTTGCCTTTATTTTATTTGAACTTTTTAATGGTTTCTACTTTTGTGTTTAGAACTGTAATCTTTCTAACAAATGTTTTCTAAGAGTCGTTATTGAATGTTCTTTCTCTGTTAATTTATTGAATATTAAGTAAGCAGTCCATCCACACAGTCCTTATTGGAATTGGAGTTGCTCTGTCAATGGCTTTTGATACTGGTTTTTATCAATTCTACCCTCAAGAACAATAGTCTCATCAGCACAGAGTATTATTAAAATGTTTTCTCCAATTAGAAATAGATTATTTTATTTTATTTTTTAGAAATAGGTTATTTTAACATGCACTTTATTGCAAATGAATTTGAGTGTTTTTTCATATCTTTGATCATTTTGTTTTCCTTCTATGAATTGCCCACGTCCTTTGCTTATTTTAGTGGATTGACCTCTTCCTAATTATTTTAACTCTTGTTAAATAATACCTCACTCCTTTGACATATGTGTCACAAACGTTTTTCAGTTGCCTTCTAATTTTTTGATACTTTTTTCTTAAAGAATTTTTAATGTGTTCATAACAGATCCATAAATCCCATCCTTTATGATGTCTGTCTTTGATGAGCTTAAGAACAGTCACCCCGTTGCAGGATTGTAGAAGCATTTGCCTTTATTTTATTTGAACTTTTTAATGGTTTCTACTTTTGTGTTTAGAACTGTAATCTTTCTAACAAATGTTTTCTAAGAGTCGTTATTGAATGTTCTTTCTCTGTTAATTTATTGAATATTAAGTAAGCAGTCCATCCACACAGATAAGTTTCTGAGATTTGAGCCCCGCCTAGTGGTCCATTTGTCCACTCGGGACTCATGGCTGCACAGTGTGATTTGCTGTGGTTCAGTGGAAGCGTCACTACGGGGCAGGCTGTCTCAGGGGAGTCTACCTTTCTGTCTCTGCCCCCCTCTGTCCCCCCTCACACTGCCCCCTCTGTCTTTCCTCTCTGCCCCCCTCTATCCTCCAAGCACCAGTGACAGAGCTCTTGAGGATGGACCTGGGAAGGGAGAGGGTTGGGGAGAGTTCAGGGTGCCCATAGGGGACACCAGCCCTGTCAAGGAGCCCCAGCCACACCCTCCCATCTGGAAGGCTAGAGCCATGACTTCTTTGGGGTCTGGCCAGCTCCAAATTTCTTCTGTAACATGGAAACCACCTGAAAAGTCTGGTCTTTCTCCTCCAAACCTTTGGCTCTTCAGACCAAGTGAAGGTGTCTTGTCCAACAGGGCCCCTGGGGCCGGGTCAGGGGAAACTTCCAGGTGATCACTGTGGCAGCCACTTTATCAAATCAACAAAGCCGCTCCCTCCCATTCAAAGATGCTGCCAAACGTAACTCCCTGTGGGATGAGAAGCATCACGTCTTAGTCATGATGCTAACCCAACTCTTGGCACTCTTAAATGTGCCAAATGCTGTTTTGTAAGCACTTTTGGAATATCAGTGTTGCATATAAATGTATGTATGAATAGCAAGGATTCACACGCACAGTATTATCCCCTTTATAGGTGAGGAAACTGAGGCACACACAGGTTAAGTAAGTGGCCTAAGACCACACCACTCACAGGAAGCACAGAACTAGTACCTAAATCCAGTGGCACACTTTTGCTGACTGTGCAGCCCTGAAGAGAGAGGGAGGGTGGGCAGGGGGCACAGACCTGGGCCAGGGTTTGACAGGGCAGGAATTGCAGGGAAGTGCCCCCAAGATACATACACACATACGCACACAGGCCCCCTCTGTCCTCCATGGACTCCTCTGATGTCGCCACCCTGCTTTGCAGAGGCTGCTGGTGGCCTCCCGCTCCCTCCACCCAAGGCCCCTCCATCCAGAGTCTTGTCTCTGGCAGCCAGAGACAGGCCCTCAGGTGGCCTGGACCTGTGGGCTCTGGTGGCCCTTCTGTGAACAGGCCCGGTTGGCAGCCAGGGGCCCAGTCCCTTTCGTTCTTGCCAGAATCTTGTCTCTGGCAGCCAGAGACAGGCCCTCAGGTGGCCCGGACCTGTGGGCTCTGGTGGCTCTTCTGTGAACAGGCCCGGTTGGCAGCCAGGGGCCCAGTCCCTTTTGTTCTTGCCAGAGCACTGGAGCCCCTCTTGGGTCCCCTCTCCCTGCCTGCTGGTCCCATCCCAGCACCAGCCCTCAGGCAGGGCAGGTACCCAGGCCAGGGCGGTGCGTGTCTGCTGGTCGGGATGCACTCTGCTAAAGCAGCTGCCCCAGATTGATCTCAGCAGTGTCTGTTCTTGTCCATGTGGAAGTGGTGTTTACTTGTGTCTCTCTGTGTGTGTTTATTTACACAGGCAAATTTTCTCTACAGCCTGCAGGCCAAGTACTTGCAGAATCAGGTACAGGGCCCTAGCTGGAGCTGCCCCGTATCCCGCACTGCACTGTCCAGCGGGGGAGGAATGCCTGGGGTCCCTGTTCTGACCTCCACACAGGGGTCTGTGGGGAGCTGCGTGTCCCCAGCCTGTGTCACCCCTGGGGCCCCCTGACTCAGTGAGGCCAATTTTCATCTATTTCAGGGCATCGTTTGGCCACAAGTCTTCAGTGGCATCGTGGGCAACTGCGTCAACGGCCTGGCCAACTATGTCCTGGTTTCTGTGCTGGGCCAGGGGGTCAGGTGAGCAGGGGGCTTGCATCGTTTGGCCACAAGTCTTCAGTGGCATCGTGGGCAACTGTGTCAACGGCCTGGCCAACTATGTCCTGGTTTCTGTGCTGGGCCAAGGGGTCAGGTGAGCAGGGGGCTGCAGGGCCTTCTTGGGGAGGGTCAAGTGTCGGGGGGGGTCAGTTGAATAAGGTGTTGCATGGGCTGTGGCAGCCTGGTCTGGAGCCCTGCCTACCCCTGAGGGGGCAGCAAGTCCCATCACAACAAGGACTGTGGAGGCTGTCCACACCATTCAGCCACAGGTGGGTCATGGGGAACTGGGGATGAGCCAGGCCTGTCCCCCACTTGCCTCCAGGGCTGGAGTCGGCCTTTGCTCCAGCCTGGCCTTCCACCCTCTGTCAGGGGCTCCGCATTCGCCAACACCGTCTCCCAGTTCACGCAGGCTGTCTTCCTCCTGTTCTACATCGTACTGAAGAAGCTGCATCTGGAGACATGGGCAGGTGTGGAGGGGGATCCTGCCCAGGGAGGGGGTTGCTGAAGGGTGGGTAGGCCGCCAGCACCAGCCCAGGGCCTTCACTTCGTGGGCAGGGTCCCAGCTGGAGCCTTTGGAGGAACCCTGCCCCAGGCCTGCCCCCACATCCCTCAGGGCCCACCTCTTCCCCACCCCCTGTATCTGCACCCTCTCTCCGCCTCTGCACCCCACCCCTAGAGGCTTGGTTTCCCAATCCAGTGTGTCCCGGGGCACAGCCCTGCTGGGGACGGGCCAGGAGCTTCCGCGGATAGAATGCTGGGTGCCAGCAGCAGGCTGCATCCACATTGCTTGGATAAGCTTCAGAACTCCTCGTTAACTCCATTTTTATCTATATGGAGGAAGCTGGTGCCGAGTTTGTCATTCACCCCAAATCACAGAAGTGGGCTCGAACCTGCTCCCAGGCCTAGGTGCTGAGCTTTTAGCCCCTGAAAGCTGACTGTGTGGACTGTGTGTCCCTCTCTGGCCTGGGGCCTCCTCCCCCATGGCTGTGCAACCCTGTCTGCCTTGTGAAATCTCCTGGAGCCTTGGTGTCGGGCCACCCTCCCAGCAGCCCTCCGGGGAGATGGGGAAGAGATAAGGACTAAAATTTCATCCAAGGAGACAGGGCCCAGGAAGGGCCAGGCTGTCTGCCAGCCTGTGGTGCCCGGGCTCCCACCCAGGGGTGCTGCCTGAGGTGTTAGCCCGTACCCTCCTCCTGTCCCCACCCTGCCTGGTGCCAAGTGCCTGGGCTTGCTGTGTGGAGTCAAAAGCTGTGGGCCCTGGCGGTGGGTGGGCTGGCTGGGCCGCAAGGCGGATGGGGGCTCAGTCAGCTGGCTTCTGCTCCTAGGCTGGTCCTGGGAGTGCCTGCAGGACTGGGGCCCCTTCTTCCGCTTGGCCGTCCCCAGCATGCTGATGCTGTGCATCGAGTGGTGGGCCTACGAGATCGGGAGCTTCCTCGTGGGTACGTGGGATAGCGGCGTGTGGGGAGACCCCTCCCCCAGACAGGTGGTTCATCCACCCAGCTGGGCTCCCTGCCAGACTGTGAGCTTCCAGCAGGCAGGCCTGGGCCCAGTGCAGCCCAGTCTAGGCCTGGCACGGAGTGGACACCTGGGCATGATTTTCAGTCAGAGATGGAATGAGATGAAACTGGTGCAGCCAGAACATCTTGTGCTCATCAACGGACTCAGAACAGAGTCCAAACAGCCAGGGCTGGAATGGCCCCAAGAGACCTTCCAGTCCACCCCGGACCTCATTTATAGATGAGAAAATTGAGTCCCAAGAGTAAAAGAGGCTGTCCAGAGTCACCCCAACCGGGCTGAGAGCTGAACTCAGTCAGGCTTCTTGACCTTGGTCCAGTTTTCTTCCCTCCCTCATCACATGGTGTACACAGGAGAGAGACCCTGACCCTGGCACACCCAGGCAGGGGTCTCCTGGAAGGCTGAAGGCCAAGTGGAAAGGTGGTTTTTGCTGTGTCTGCCCTTGGAAGCCACTGGCCCCTTGGCCCCAAGAGTAGGGGGCACTCTTGTCAGCCCAGGGCTGTTGGCCAGCTGGCTGGACACTCACAGTGCTCCTGCCCCACCTCCGCAGGCCTGCTCAGCGTGCGCGACCTATCTGCCCAAGCGGTCATCTACGAGGTGGCCACCGTCGTCTACATGGTGAGGCTTGTGGGGGGTACCTTTTTGTCCTGCCCCCAGCCCAATCCCCTGACAGCCTGGGAGTGTCAGAGGGGGAGGGGGCGGCTGCCCCCCCAGAGGCCATTTCTGTCTCCTGAGGGACCCTCCAGACCCCCTGTATTCCACCAGGCCCAGGCCCTAAGAGCCACACGTGGCCCACAGCTGCTCCGCCGTGGGTGATACAGAACTCTCCATTTTGGAATTGTTTTGAGTTGATTGGCATCATTTAAAATTGGGAGATTTCACGTCACAATCTGGATTTCTGCATTTTTATTGAAAAATGGGACGTTCCCTTTAGCAGTGGGCCCACGTTTTTGTACACCTCTAGTGGTGAGCCCTGGGGAACAGAGCCCTTTTGGGGGCACTTCCTTGCCTCCACCAGGGAAAGAATTCCCCGCAGTTCCTTCCTCTTCGAGGACACATGGAGTATCCCTTGTCACTTGTGCAGCCTCTGCCAGCCTCCTGGGGTGCATGCTCTGTGATCCCAGCTTTAATCGAGGGAGGTGCAAAAACCTACATGTACAAAACTGATTTATAAAGTGATTCTTATGTTGAAAGTGGTGTCAATCTTTTTCTCGCAGGGACCTTTTTATGACAGACTTAGGACTACACTTGCCTTTTTATGTGATGTTTACTCATGAGGTTTTGGCTGTGTGTTGATTTTGGCTGCCTGTGGTGTCTGATGGCTCAGCGAGGGTGGGGCTTTGGCTGGCTTGATTGGGGTACCCCCACCCCACCTGCCAGCGGCTGATCTCATGGCTGGTTACCAGCAGCCAGGAAATACCCTGCTTCTCTCCCTCTTGACCCGGGGGCTGACCGTAACTTCTTGTCTCTGAGTCCAGATCCCCATGGGGCTCAGCATCGCGGTCTGTGTCCGAGTGGGGACAGCCCTGGGAGCCGCAGACACCGTGCAAGCCAAGCGATCAGCCATCTCAGGCACCCTCTGCACAGGTGGGTGGGGTCAGGCCTCGGCCAGGGGAGGCCCTGGGAGCCACGGCTACCTTCCAAGCCTGTGGTACCTGTTATGTGGCCCAGAGCAGCAAGCCTGCTGTGCCCCTTCCGGCCGCTTCCCCACTGCTGGGGGTCTGAGCCGGCAGTTTCCATCAGTAGTGTGATGCTAGGAAGACCCTTCCTCCCCAGGCTCCCAGGCCTCTAGGTCTTCCTGTGAGCTCAGCCTCCTGGAGTCCCCGGAAGCATGGGCCTGCTCTTGGCGACCCTCAGAAAGGACCCCTGTGCATCCATCCTGTCTCTGCTTTCTACAGCTGCCAGGCTCAGATCAGCTCCTCATGGAGAGCGGTGGTTCTCAGGCTTTAGACTTAGGTTGGGGGTAGGGTGGGGGAGCTGGGTGTCAAAACCCGAACCTCCCCCCACCGCTGGCAGTTTCTGACTCAGTCAGTTGGAGATGGGGGTCTGAGAATCTGCTTCACTAGGCAACTGCCGGTCCAGGGACCCCATTTTGAGAACCATGGGAGGAAGGGCATTTTGCATGTTGTCATCACGAGACCGCAGATGAGGGTCTTCGTCCAGGTGGACGTGCGGCTGGGCTGGCTCGGGCTGAGGGGGGCCAGGCTCCTCCCTGGGCTGGGTCGGCCTCACTGCCTTCATCTCTTGCAGTGGGAACCTCGCTGGTTGTGGGCGTCCTATTGAGCCTCCTGAGAAACAAGCTGGGCCACATCTTCACCAACGACGAGTAGGTAGTCGGCTTTCCCGCCTCGTGTCGGGGGCCTCGGCTGCTGCCCATGCACAGACCAGGCGCCAACCGAAGGGCAGGGCAGAGCTAACGGGGCTCCTCGGGGGGTTCGGACGTGTCCACACACACAGGGAGACTCAGGGACAGGAGCGGCCTGGCCTGGGGTGACCACCTAGGCTTGGAGAAGGTGGGGGCAGGGTGGAATAGATGGGACAGGAGTGGGACTCCAAGGCCAAGGTTGTGTCTCATGGCCCCCTGTCCCTGCAGGGAAGTCGTTGACCTGGTCAACAAGGTCCTGCCGCTGTACATCTTCTTCCAGCTGTTTGATGCCCTCTGTGTGAGTCCGGATCTGACCCCCGTGTTCCCAACCCCTGGCCCCCAAGCAGCTCAGGGCTGTGAGCTTGAGCTGCCTGATTAGTGCTGACTGCAGAGTAAGCGGCAGCTCTTGGATCTATTATTATTCAAAATAACGCCTCCCCGCTTTCTCTCCTGCAGTTCCAGCTCACTGAGAAGTGTGCACATTAGCAAAATACTGACCACTTTTCCAGTGCAGAATCATAAACCCTCTTCTTCCTTGTTCCCCAGGATTGGGTAGGGGGGCAGCGGGGCACAGCTCTGACTCAGGCCCCACCCGGCCAGGAGCGGCCACACTGGCTTCCAGAATAGAGGCGCCCAGAGTACAGAGGGGCCCAACTTTCCACTTGGATCACTAAAGAGCAAGTCTCATTGAGTGCAAGTCTGAATTCTGTGAATGTTTAACAGCCTGGCATAGAGACAGCGAGCGCCAGAGTCTCATTTGTTGAGCAGAATTTGAAGCCCTGGGTCGTCGTCTTCACACCTTGGGCAATCTTGCAGGAAGCTCCAAGTCTCTGCCTGGAGCATGTGCTTTGAGAGCAGCAAGGGGCAGGAGGCAAACACCCTTATAGGAGTCATCAGCTCTTATAGAAAAAGTGGTTCCTATAGGAAGGAAAGAAAGAGCCGTTGGGAGAAAGTATATTCGTGGAGAGTTTTCCTCAAAGCCCTGGCACTGTGGCCGGTTCCCCATACATTTCCAGGGCTGGTCTTCAAATCTAGTTGGGCACAGGCTTGGAGCACATTACTGACCTCATCAGGACCGCTTGCTTTGGGCCGGGTTTTGTCATCAGATTCACAGCATTTATTGCAAAATATTAAAAGAAATCCTCTTCTGGGCTCTGTTACGGCTTCTGCGAGGACACTGTAATTACTTTTTCCTCTAGCTCCAAGGTGAAGCCACAGCTGAGAAACTCCTCCTGCAGGGTCAGGCCTCAGAGGGCTCTGCATTCCTAAATGCTCCTAAGGCAGCACCTCTCTGTTCACTGCCCACCAGGGAACCCGCAGCAGATTCACAGCTCACGACTGCCAGGGGTCTTGCAGCGTGCATCGCTGCATCTACTATGTTTACTCCTGGTTATATCTATTTTTTTTTCATTAAAAAATTTGTTTTTTTGGGTGCACCATGCGGTATGTGGGATCTTCTTTCTCTGACCAGAGATTGAAATGGTGCTACCTGGAGTAGAAGCTCCATTGCATTGCCAGAGAACTGAATCACCAAACCACTGGATTACCAGAGAACTCCCTAGATGTGTGTTATTCTTTTTTTTTTTTTTTTGTAAATAATTTTATTTATTTATTTTTGGCTGTGCTGGGTCTTCATTACTTGCTCAGGTTTTTCTCTAGTTGTGGGAATGGGGGCTACTCTCTAGTGGCCGTGCTCAGGCTTCTCTTGTCGTTGTGGCTCCCAGACTCTAGGGTGCGAGGGCTCAATAGTGTGGCCCATGGGCTTAGTTGCTGTGAAGCATGTGGGACCATCCCAGACAGCAGATCAAACCTGTGATTCCATTGACAGGTGGATTCTTTACCACTGAGTCACCAGGGAAGCCCTATATTATTCTTAATTTAAGTTTTCCATGGACCTAGTTTTTATTTTATATTTTTTATGCCTTTCTTGAATTATAGTTTACATACCATAAATTCATGCGTTTTACATGCGTAAGTCAAACCTTTGAGTAAGTGTCTACTTGTGGAACCAGTGCTGCAATCCAGTGTTTTCATCACCCCCACAGAATTCCTGGGGCCTGCTTTGAAGTCACTGCCTACTCCCACGGGCAGCCCCAGTCAATGCACTGACCCACTTTCTGTCTGTGCGTACTTGCCTCTTCTGATTATTTTATAGACGTGGAATTACAGAGTATGTGGTCTTTTGTGCCTGGTTTCGTTCACTTCTTGAAATGTTTCCGAGGTTCTTCCATGGCATAGCATTTTTCAGGACTTCATTCCTTTTTGTGGCTGAATGATAGTCCACTCTGTGGCTGTAACATGTTTGTCTACCCATTCATCAGGTGATGGACATTTGGGTTGTTTTGAGTGTGGCCTGCTGTGACAAGGGCTGCTGGGAACATTCAAGTATGAGTCATTGTGTGGACGTATGTTTTCCTGCCTCTTAGTAGAGTCTTAAGGAGTTGAATTGTTAGGTTAAAGCGTAAGTTTATGTTTAACTTTGTAAGAAACCATTAAGCTGTTTTCCAAAACAACTGTATCATTTTACATTCCCACCAGCAATGTACCGGGATTCCAGTTCCTCCCCTGTGTTGCTAATTCTTGGTATTGTTTGTCTTGAAATTGGAAAAAGTAGATTTTACTTTTAAGAGCAGTTTTAGGTTTACAGAAAAATTGAGCAAATACAGAGTTCCCATAAGCACCCCCCCCCCCGCTGGTTCCCCCTTTTATTTATATCATGTATTAGTACAGAACATTTGTTTACTTGATGAAGAATATTGATACATTAAGTCCACAGTTCATGGTTGGTATGCATTCTGTTGGTTTTGACAAACGTTTAAGGACATGTACACAACATTGTAGAATCATACAGGATACACACTACTATATATGAAACAGGTGAACAACAAGGTCCTACTGTATAGCACAGGGAATTATATTCAGTATCCTGTAATAAACCATAATAGAAAAGAATATGAAAAAGAATATATCTATAACTGATTACAGCAGAAACTAACTTTTTTATATTATTTCTCATTTTTATTAGAGTCATCCTCATGGGTCTGTACAGGTATCTCTGTGTAGTTTTAATGTACATTTCTTCTTTTTTTTTTTTTTCTGGGCCATGCCACACGGCATGTGGAATCTTAGTTCCCCAACCAGGGATCAAACCGAGGCCCCCTGCAGTGCGGGCACAGAGCCCTAACCACTGGACCACCCGGGAGTCCCTGATGTGTGTTTCCTGAATGACTAACGCCGAGCCCCTTCCATCTGCATGTCTCCTCGGGTGAAGTGTCTGCTTGTGTCTTTGTTCAATGCAGACATCAGGCTCTTGTCTGAGCCTGCCAGGGCTGCCCTGACAAAGCATGCAAAGCTGAGTGACCTAACATACCAGAAATGGATTGTCTCACGGTTCTGGAGACCAGAGGTCCTAGATCCAAGGCACCAGGGGAGGATCTACTCCAGGCTCTGCTGAGCTTCTGGAACCCTCAGGAGCCCCTGAGCATGTAGAAGGCATCGTTTGCCCATGTCTGTTCACGTTGTCTTCCCTCTGCATGTCTGTGTTCTAGTTTCTCCTTTTTACAAGGACACCTGTCTTCTTGGGGTAGGGTACACCCTGATGACCTCATCTCAGCTTGGTCTTCTGCAGAGATGCCATTTCCAATTAAGGTCATATTCAGAGGTCCTGGGGTCAGGACTTCAGCATCTTCAGTGGGGGGCACAAGTAAACCCATTGTAATTACCTTTTCATTACTGAGTTGTAAAAGTTCTTTTTTTCATTGTAGAATAGTTGATTTATAATGTGTTAATTTTTACTGTATAGCAAAGTGATTCAGTTATACATGTATGTATTGTTGTTGTTCAATTGCTAATTCATGTCTGACTCTTTTCTACCGCATGGATGGCAGCCAGGCCTCCCTGCCCCTCACTATCTCCTGGAATTTGCCCAAGTTCATGTCCATTGAGTTGGTGTACATTTTTAAAAATATTCTTTTCCATAGTGGTTTATCATAGCATATTGAGTGCAGTTCCCTGTGCTCTATGCTTGGACCTTGTTTGTCCGTCCTATATGTAATAGTTTGCATCTGCTCACCCCACACTCCCAGTCCACCTCTCCCCCTGTATCTGAAACACAACAGCCTTGTGTGACCCAGGGCAGGTCCCTCCAGGAAGGAAGGGGGACGAGGGCCCCTCCTAGCCCGTGTTGTGGACTTAAATGAGGCCATGGCCCATAGATTCCTGGGGAAGCCCTGCTGCTAAGACTCACCATCGCCTCAGCATCACCAACCCCCAGCCCTTCCGCCTCCTGCAGTGTCTCTACGCTGGGGTCCTGCGTGGGACCGGCAGGCAGGCCTTCGGGGCTGTGGTGAATGCCGTCATGTACTACGCCATCGGCCTCCCGCTGGGTGTCGTGCTGACCTTCCTGGTCGGGATGGGGATCATGGGTACGTGGTGTCGGGGGAGGGGGGCAGGCCTAGTGCTCGTCGATGCCCTCACTCACCCCCGTGTCCTGCAGGCCTCTGGCTGGGCATGCTGGTCTGTGTCATGCTGGCCACCGCTGCCTTCGTCACTTACACGGTCCGGATGGACTGGAAGCGGGCTGCGGAGGAGGTGAGTGCCCTTCCTATTACCAAAGAAACCATGCCAGACACCATCCTCAGCCCCCCCTCCCCCCCGCCCCTGCTCAAACTCAAGCAGAGGGCTCCCGATGACCCTGAGGGTGAGCTGTGACCTTGGAAAAGGTACCGACAGCACCCTGTCCGCCATCCTCTTGGGAGCACTTCTGAAACAGGCGGCCTGGCGTTTGCTACTATGGCTCAGACTCTGAAACCCAGAGGGTGTGGGTTCACCCTCTGTGAACCCACAGAGCTTCACACCCTCTGTGGGGATCCAGTCCTCCTGGCATCTGAGACAATGGATCAACCTAGATCTAAAAGAGCGCCTCTTAAAATTCCCCAGACTGTGGACATGGCAGGCCTGGCCTTACCGCACTTCACAGGTGTTGCGGTTTTTGCAGGGTGAGGGTCTGGTGCCACCCCACGTTGAGCAAGGCGATCGGCAGGCACCATCTTCCCAACAGCATTTGTTCGCTTTGTGTCTCTAGGTCACACTTTGCTCATAATTCTCATCATATTTCAAATCTTCTCATTATTATCATCTCATTTATGGTGAGGGATGATCACTGAACTCTGACATCACCATCGCGAAAATATGACCTGCTTAAGGCTCAGGTGATGGTATTTTCCAGCCAGGAAGTACTTTTTAACTGCGGTATGGACAAGGTGTCTCGCACACTTAGCAGACTCATGTTGTGCAAACATTACTTTTATGTGCACCAGTAACCCAGAAAAGTCCTCTGCCTGCGTTACTCGCCTTATTGCAGTGGTGTGGAGCCCCCAAGATGTGCCTGTGTGTGACCATGTGTATCCTGCTCAGCCTGCAGGGCTCAGCTGAGGCTGGGTGGATGGGCAACTGGCAGGCTGACCTGGCGACTCTCTGTCCTTCAGGCGCAGAAACACGCGGGACTGCCGCCACTGGGGAGCAGTGGGAGCATGGCTCTCGGACCCAGGCCCGGGCCTGAGAAAGCAGTTGTGTCTTCAGGTAACACTGCCCTGTGTGCTTGGGTGGCCAGGAACCGCAAGCGCCCAGGCTGCCTCTCTTCCTCAATGTGACAGTGATATCTGTTCTGACACCAGGAGGGGCACTGATGTCCTGGGAAGCAGGCCCTGTCTGTCCTGGCCTGGGAGGCTGTGACCCTTGGTCCTGTCATCAGATGAGGGTGTGAGTTGGGCGCTTAGATCTCCTCCCTGTCATCCTGCAGCTAGCTGCTAAACTAGAGGACGAGGTCTGAGCACCAGCCATCTGACCTCAGGGCGCATTGTCAGCACCTAGCTCCAGTGTGGGCAGGAGGACTGCAGCCGAGGGTTAGGCAGGTCAGCCTGGCTTGATAACCAGTGTGGGTGGCCCTTTCCGCCCACCCCTCTGCACCCCATTAGACTGGAGCTCTGCTGCCCTGGCGCTGGCCTGAGCCCAGGGCTGTGTGTCCACAACCCACAGCCTGGTTATCTCTGCAGCCTTAGCTCACTCATCCTGAGCTGTGCCTTGATTGGGGTGGGCATGGGGAGCCGGCACAGGCTTTGGGGGCTTCAGTGTTGCCAGGGAGCGGGGGAGCCAGCGTGACTGAGCATGTCACATGCTGAGGTTGCTGGTGGAGGTTACACACCTCCAGGCCGTCTGACCCCGTCTGATCTCAGCCTTGTCTGCGCATCAGGTCCACAGGATGCTGTCCCACGTGTTTCCTGCTGTGAGGCAGGGGTGTCAATCCTTTGGCTCCACAGCCCCCCACCTAGGGCTGAGCTGGCTTCTGCTTGTCTTGCAGTGGCCACAGGCAGCTCCCCTGGCGTGATCCTGACGACCTACTCAAGACTCGGGGGCCACCTGGACCTCCTCAGGACTCCGGAAGCAATCCAAACCCTACCCGCCCCCGCCAACCGACTGTCAGCCAAGCAGCTGGCTGTCCGCCGGGGGGCTGCTCTGGGGGTAGCAGTGGGCTCGTTGATAGTGGGGCTCGTCCTGAGGGTCCTCACTGCCAGGCCCTAGCGAGACAGCTTGAGACAAAAAGGAAGCTGAGAGCGGCTGCCGACCCCAAATTCAGTGCAGGGGGATGCCCCGAACCACTCCTCAAGAACATTCACGGGACTTCCCTGGTGATCCAGTGGTTGAGAATCTGCCCATCCACTGAGCGGGTTTCCCCCTCCTCCCCCCCAACCAACCCCCACCAGTTGGGGAGCTGGGATCCCACATGCTACGCAGTGTGGCCAGAAAATAAAACAGATTTTGAGCCGGTGCTGTGTGTCACATGGCGGGTCTGAGCGGCAGTTAAATTGCCTCCTCTCACCTGACTGCTCTTGATAACAGCTCAGCCGACTGGAAGATGAGACTCCTGGGGTTGGTCCCCTTATTCAATAAACGGCTTCAGGTTAGAGATTTCAAATCAAAACGAATTAGAAAACGCCACTGTCACATGAAAAAGTAGGCAGAGTCTGCCGCCGAGGTCTGTTTACAAAGCCTTTGTGAAGTTCTGGAAGCAGGGGTCAGTGGGCCCTGCCCACGCAGTCCACCTTGCTGAGACCCCCGTCTGCTCCTGCTCTGGCACCTCCTGCAGGTCCAGGAGCTGTGAGGCCCCAGCCGGGCTGGTCACCTTTCCCCCAGTGCTCTCAGGGCATGAGCATTTTCGCTTGAGAAATGCCTCTCACAGTAGCGACAGGCTATAACTAAGAGCAGTCGGTAGAGTCTGCCTACAATGCAGGAGGCCTGGGTTCGATCCCTGAGTTGGAAAGATCTCCTGGAGAAGGAAATGGCAACCCACTCCAGTATTCGTCTAGAGCATTCCATGGACAGAGGAGACTGGTGGGTTACAGTCCCTGGGGTAGCAGAGAGTCAGATGTGACTAACACTTCGACAGGCAGTGAAACCCAGATCACTGGGCCAGGGAGGCTCAGGACAGAATGGAGGGCTAACCCAGTCCTAGGGTGCTTTGAGGCCTGGGACTGGGGACATGTTCGGGCTCCAGGCTGCACTTGGGGCCCTGGGGGCTCAGCCTGGCCTTCAACATCAGTCCCTTTAACGTGGGTAGTTACATCCAGACAATGGATTCACTAATCAAGGTCACTAGGGGAAAAGGATGCAGAGTGCAAACACTTGACTCCATAGAAAGGTAGGAGCCAGTGGCATCTGTGACCTGAAGACTCCGCGAGCTTCCGCACCCAGATAGAACGAACAGGTATGGAACAGAAAGGCCATGTTGTATCCTAGGGTTGCGTAAGTGAAAGTAAGGTGTTAAGTTGCTAAGTGTCTGACTCTTTGTGACCCCATGGACCAAAGCCTGCCAGGCTCCTCTGTCCATGGGATTTTCCAGGCAAGAATACTGGAGTGGGTTGCCATACCCTCCTCCAGGGGATCTTCCCGACCTAGGGATCAAACTGGGGTCTCCTGCATTGCAGGCAGATTTCTTTACCACCTGAGCCATCAGATTGCAAGGCACTGAGGAAAAAGGACTGCAAGCGCAAGTCTGGGCAACAGCGCATCTGCACAAACCCCTGCTAGACAGAACTGACGGCAGAGCCAGTTTCTGTGTAAAGGCTCATGGGATTGGTGTCTGGTGAATGTGCTTACAGAAATATACTTGTTTTAGGTCAGCAATGGGGTAAAGATATAGTTAGAAAGAAACCTATTTACTATATATAGATGGTTTTTAAAAACAACCCACAAGTGGCAAAGTAAAACTTGAGAAAATCTAGGCTGAGAAATTAAAATGAGAAAGAGTTAAAGTGGATCCACACTACCTTTGATAAAGGCAAAAAATGGATTTCTAGTTGGAGAAAACTTATGTTTAAAGGATTGTCTTCATCAGGGCATATCTGAAAACTAATGACATTATTAAAATTCATGCCAATTTCATCAAATGTATCTATTTTGAAGCAGAATATACCAGTAGACAAGCAAATAATTTTAATTAGAAAATAAAATGCACAATATACCAAATGAAAATTCCATATTGAAATTTTCTCTCAGATATTTTACGGCTGATTATTCTGATAAAACTCCAGCGTTAAGCAGGTGTCCCCTAAGCCAGCCTAGTGATTGGTTGTTGATCCCCGTGTTCTGTGATGAAGCCAGTAACACTGCAATCAGCCACAAGGAGCAGGTTCATTCAGTGGTGGATCACATGTGCTGTGAAGTGAGGTACCTTCTCTCATTGAGTGTGGGGACGGGGAGGACCCTCCAGGGCTCTTCTTGAGACCTGTTTGGCTGAAGTGCTGGGTCTGGTCCCAGCACTGTGCACGGAAGGTCCCCCTCAGTGGGCCAGCTGCTGTCCTGGTCATGGAGAGCCCTCTTCCAGATGCCCCTCACCAGCCCCTGGGGCTCACAGGCTGTAAGTTGTGAACACCGAAGGCCTCTTGTCCAGGACAGAAACTGGTCCCCATGTTAAGTTCTGGACAGAATCTGTTCAGCAATGCCCCGCTCAGGTTTCCAAAAGTGAAAGTCGCTCAGTTATGTCTGACTCTTTGCGACCCCATGGACTATAGTCCATGGAATTCTCCAGGCCAGAATACTGGAGTGAGTAGCCATTCCCTTCTCCAGGGGATCTTCCCAACCCAGGTCTCCCACATTGCAGGCAGATTCTTTACCAGCTGAGCTACAGGGAGGCCAAGGGGATGCTTACTCGCCTCGTGGTACAGAAACAGGAAACTTGAAGATTCGTCCCTGAAGAGCCACTGACTTGCCATGTGCAGCCTCTGCTCAAGGGTGGGTATTGTCTGAGTACCATGACGATAGCAGTGAAACAGGCCAGTGGCTTTGTAGACGCACACAGTCTACGAATGACATGATTCTTGCACCAAACTGGCAGCTGCCTTCCAGTAGCCTAAGGATTTACCATGTGTGGACGTCACAACAGACTGTCACAAGCCGAGCACAAGACAGAGAGCGGTGAGAAAGGAGGGCTGCTTCCTGGAGCTCAGTCTTCAAATCCCAAGATCAGGGACAGGGACCCCCCCCAACCCCAGTTCTAGTGCCCTGAACCCCGAGGAGTCTGGGAGATCATGCCTCACCTCTCTGGACTGAGACCTGGAAACATGCACAGGGCAGTCTCCAGGAGGCTTCAGGGGGTGCTGCCTGAAGGGGGGGGTGGCAAGCCCCATGTGCCTGATAAACAGGAGTCACTGAGCAGATCTGGGAATGTGGGCTCACCCAGTGCGCTCCCTCCCCCAGCCAGAGCTCTAGGGACGTAGCTTCTCCGAGTGAGCATGCTCAGTCCTGGGGGGCCGGGGGAAAGGTAAGTGGGGGACTTTGGCTGAAGCGGTGAGTTTTATTAATGGTGAATGGTGAGGACAGTGTGTTTGCCTATCTTCCTAAAAGTTCCAGTACGATTTAAAAATGATTGGTTGGTTAGCCACTGAGCAGAAGAATAATTCAGCAGAGACGATGAGGAGGTAGCCGGGGTCCATCAGTAGTATCCGGCCTGCGGTGGGGAGAAAGGATTCAGGTTACTGCCAGTTTACAACCCCTTAGCCCTGCAACATGGGCCCAGGGTCAGAACCCCAACCAGCACCTCCCATCCTGGAAGCCTCTCCTGCAGTGACAGCAGGGCCCACAGGTGTCTAAGGATGAGAGGTCATGCTCTCCTCCCCAAAACAACGACAGGATGGTGGTGTTGGAGGTGGTACTCTGTCCAACATGGAGGAGACACGACAACGAGCAAAGACCTAAGTTTTAAGAAGGAAGTGCACTGTCCACGTGAACTCTGAAAACTGGTGAGCGATTCTGCTTCTTAATCCCATCAACCCCCACTGAGGCTTAAAGAAGCACAGCCACAAAGTTCAAAGATGGATTTAATCCTCAAGGTCCTGATGACATCGATCGATTTTAACCTTTTATTTTCCTCAGCTTTTAAAAACCCCTGCAATGCTTTCTGTAGCTTAGGCTAACCTTTACTGGAAACCTGTGTAAAAAGGATGTGGAAAATGCCCCCACCCTGAGATACTAACATAATCCCCTTAGACTGATAACTGCAAATTTCAGTTTCCCATTTTAAAATGCTCCAAATGCATTCTAATGCTAGTAAACTGAAATATTAAAATCAGAGCTACGAAGTACAAAAAAGCAATTTCAGAAAAATGTTTGCAGTGACCACCAACAAAGATTCCTCAAGAAAATGGCCAATTTAGGCACAGAATCCTCTGTTGAAAGTAAAAGGTGATTTTGTAAAGAGGGTATAAGCGTAGAGAAGCAGCAAAGAGAGAAGAGCCCCCAAACCTTTACCCAGTCTCACACTGGATCCAAAACAATTGGAACACCTCAGTTCCCAGCGAGGACAGCGAGAGACGGGGCTGCCTGCGCCCTGCTGGCTCAGAAGTGGCCTCGCCCGAAGCCGTAATTAAATCAAGCTCAAGGCCCAGCTAAATATACATTTTTACAACACTGATGCATCTCTAGAGCCTACCAGACAAAGGCTTGCCTGCCAAACCCTTTTGCAAACTTTGCGGGGCTGCCAGCCCATCTAGGAGGGGGCAGGCCTGTGGGGATCAGTCTGCCTGCACCTCTGGATTCTCCGCCAGGCTGAGTGACTTCACCACAGCCAAGGAGGTACTGGTCAGGCTGGGGACCCACGACTTGGGAGAGGACAGGCAGACAGGGACCAGAGACCAAACAGCGCCGCTGGCCTCAGCAACATGCAGAAGAACAGCACTGCAGCCCATAGCAAGCTCTGATTCACCAGGTCTGCTATGTGAGTGCTGAAGTTTAAGGAAAGAAAAACAATTCAAAAACGAAACAAAAAGTGACTTTGAGCTTTTTATGAGATGCTGCTCAGACTCTGAAGTTAGGTCTGAGTGGCTCCACGGGCACATCCTTGGGGCAGCTGAGTGCATGTGGCTGTGGTTTTCTGGGAGTGATGGCTGCTGCATCTTGACCCTCTAATCTAGAGTCCAGCCCTGGACTACACCATGGCTCAGTCAGGTTTAACACTCTGCTGCTCCAGGCTGAAGTCCAAAGCGCCTGGAGACAAATAAATTACACATTCTTTTTCTGGTAACACCTGAGCCTGAGTGTAGAAAAACACATGACCGGAAGAGCGCACACCCCACGCTGGCCTGAGTTACAGAAAGGAAGAAACGCCCTACCTCCTCTCAACAGAGTGGGTTCTGAGACCGGCTCACAGGATGGCACATTTGTGAACTGCCTCAAAAAGCAACAGGGCCTTTGTCCTCAGCACAGCCTGGTATCTCTGAGGAAACCCAAATGGATTCAGATGCAGCTGGTGTCTCCAGCTCCACCAATACCTTCTGAACACTTAAACCAAACACAGACACGAATGCAGCTGTTTCCGTTAAATCTGGTTTTGCCCCGGGAAGCTGCCTGGCACTGGCTCTCCTAGCACATCCATCTGTGATGACCAATCACCAGAGACACACGCTGCAGTCAGCCTCACGGCCAAGCCACTTCCACCAGCAGCCCGTCACCAGAGGACTGTCCTCCACCTCCATGCGCTGGGTCCATGCACGTCCAGGAACCAGCTGGCCCCGAGGCACCAACAGCGAGAGGATCAAGGGTTAGGAAAGTCGACTTCTGCAAGTGAGCTCTCCAGGGCTTTAACCTCAGACCAGAGGCAGCACATGGCTCCTGTGAGGAGAGGCCTGTGGACTGGACAGTCTCTGTTGCTGGAGCCCAGTAGCAGCTAGAGATGCTCAGATGCTAGAGAATCAGGGGCTGCCCGCAGGCCATAGCTCCCTGGCCCTTCGTTTTAGACTGAATGTTAACAGGATGAGACAGCACTGATTTAATAAGGTTGGAGGTGCTCCCAAGACAGAGCCACCCCAGGCAGCCACTGGGGACCCACCTTGATGAGCACAGCGGCCAGGACGCCCAGGAAAGTGAGCAGCAGGAGGCCGAGTCTCCCTTTGTTGAAGCGCTTCAGCAAGAAAAATTTCGCCCAGTCCACCTTCGACTGGCTGTTGGGAGGGTACCGGAGTTGGTTCACGCCTTCCCGCTTGAGACTTTTTAATAAACAGGGACGGTGATGGGAAAAAGTATCGAAACTGTGTTTTCCGTGATACGCTCCCATCCCGCTGGACCCTGAAAGTCAAGGGCAGATGAGACAGGCCACTGTAGGTAATGGTGCTCCTCCTGTGCAGGGGCAGGCCCCCTGCCCACCAGTCTGGCGGGCAGGGGGCCTTGTTCCAGGAGGTCCTGGGCTCCCTGCCCATCGGCATGGGGGGAGTGCCTTGTTCCAGGTCCTCCCACTGGCCCCCGCACAGTGGACCTGGCCCAGGACATGCTCCGGGTGCTCCTGGGACAGGCTCACTCTACCATAGCCCCACTTCTAAGAGGGAACGGGGCAGGTAGGGCCTTAGTGTGGCCCTGAGGGTCTGACTCTGGGAGTCCCGGGCTGAGCTGCACTTCCTCCAGGCTCTCGGGAGGTCATGTGGTGGTGCTAACAAGCTGGTGGACACCTCTGCTCTCTCAGAGCTGTGCTCCGGGCCTGTGCTCATTCGTCTGCTTGGTCACATAAGCCGGGCAGACACGCGTGTGGCTAGGTTAACCAGGACACAGGGCATGATTTGTGTGAAGCTGAAGCTGTAGGGGGATTCTGTGAAATGTATCAAAAGGTGTGCCTTTTAAAGAAAAAGTCTAAATTACAAAATATTAAGTGTGTATGTCTGGGAGGTCACTGCATTTCCCCTCACAACTTTCCATAGTATTCTGTTTTTGTGCCTTTTCCCTAAAAATGCAAATGGACATCCTGGTCCTTGGCTGCTGTCTGCCCTGCCCATGGCCCCATCCCTCGCCTGCCCAGGGCCTGTCCCTCACCACCTCTTTCATAAAGGACAGAGAGCAAGCCTCAGTTCATCTGAGACCTGATTCTCAGCCCAAGACATGCCCTGCATCTGGTGAAGAACTGCAAACCAGGGAAGCAGCAAACTGTAAATCATTGCAGACTGGGAAGTGCCCCCGAGGGTGGACGATGGGGACGGGCCAGAAGGGGACTCTGGGCAGCGACTGGGAGGGGCCTCACCGACGCCTCCGAAGGGCAGAGAGCTGAGCATGAAGTGCATGATGACATCATTGCCCATGACACCACCGCTGGATGTCCAGTCGATCATCCGCTTGATGAGCTGAGGGGAAGAGCAGAGGCCCCAGGTCAGTGGTGGCTGGCCCAGGACACATGTCCTCCTCGAGGTCAGACCTCACGAGCGAGCACAGTACAGGTCAGCTCTCAGTTGCACATCAAGTCCTCCGGGAAAGCAACACAGAGGGGGTTGAACACCCGTCAAACTAGTGCTGGACCCCTGAGCCCACAGCCAGGGCCTCTCATCAGGGACCATTCAGGCTCTATTCTGGGTCTTAAGAATTGTTAATGTTTCTCCTTCTCTCTGGTCTACTTTACAGCCTGTGATTTACAGATATTTCATTTCTATGAGATGCAAAAGACATTCAAATGTCCTACTTTTGAAGGAGATCGCTGGTTGGCTCACCCGGGATCCAAATGGGCAGTGACACTTGACTGGTAAATGCTACCTCCCTGGTGCCAACCAGCCGAGTCCTCCGTACTGAAGGTCATCACTGACCATGGGACAAAGCCTGACCTGCCACCCTCCGCCCAGGCCACAGACCTCAGCTTCCGCTCTGTCCTCCACTGCCTGTGATCATTTCAGCTGTAGACCGTTATGTGCTGCTAACCCGACCCTCGCTGAGCCCTGCACGCTCAGTCTCCCTGGATCGTGGACAGAGATCAGCCCCTCAACAGCTTGGCCAGCTCTGGAAGTGGCCCCATGACCACCTGCATGGCTAGGCAGAGGCTCCACAGGGGACACCTGCTCTGGGGACTCCTCAGCCTGGCCTGGATGCACACTCTCCTCCGAGTTTTCCCTTTTCCTCAGAGGCTCCTGGCCTACTGGCCCACCTTGAGGCTACTATCCCTCAGCAGCCAGTCACCTTTGAGGTGTGGATGGATAGGCTCGAGAGTGGTGGCGGGGCTGCCAGGCCTGGGGTGACAAGGCATGGGCGGCCAGCCTGACTAGGACTGTGAAACTGCTCCAACCACAAGGTTGTGTCACTGGAGAAACCCAAGTCCATGGTTTCCCAACGGCTCCCTCAGCAGTACCAGAGACCTGCCCCCGTCTGCTCCACGCCCCCCACTGCCCCTGCCTGCATGGCCTTGAGGCCCTCGGGCACCCAGGGATTAACAGCGGGAGAGGTGCCAACAGTGGCACCTGGAAGTCTAGTTAGACGGGAGGTGTTTGTGAGTCAACAGACTTGTGACAGTCACTCTGAAGTTGGAGCTCTGACCCCAGGGAGTGAAGGGAAGGTCACAGTGACAACCCCAGGGCCTCATTACCCGAGAAGGAGACAGCTAGCTGTGAGAACAGCCTCACTGGGGACTCAGCCGTAATAATCCTCGTCTGCTTTAGAGCAGAGAAGATTCAGGAGCGCGGCTCATGACAGCATGCCATATGCTATGAAGATTACCTTACTGTTGTGAGAAAACACGTAGAAAGCCAGGGGCTTTTCGCGTTCATTTATGAACTGTATGGCTTCATCTGCATTCTTCACAGGCACTATTGGAAGAATTGGTCCAAAAATTTCTTCCTGCATCACCTTGGTGTCAGGATCCACGTCAGTGAGTATTGTTGGGGCTGGAAAAGAAAATCAAAGATGAAAAGGCTGCAGCTGAGCCAGAAACCCCAACTCTCACCGCATGCTGCACTCAGAGCTCCCCCACCCTGCCAAGTGTCACCTCATGAAATGAGTCCCGATTGCATGCGTGAACCGTGCAAATATTCAATGTCTCCAGGCGTGTGCATCAGGGATCCCTGTGCCAGCAAGGGGGTAGACAGGCTGGAGTAAATCCTGTGTTCACCTAACTGTGTTCAGCACTGCACACCTGTGTCCTTCCCTGGACAGGCCTTCCTGGGAGCACAGCCAGACCAGCACCACTTCTTAACTCAAGTGCATTCCTGCCCTGATCTCTCTGACCTTGACTACAACTGAGTGAGGTTAGAGAATGTCATAAGGTGGTAGCATCCCCTGGGCCTTGGCTCAGGCTCTGCCCTCCCTGGACACATGGGAGGACACAAGAAGAGATAACGTGGACTCCGAGGACACAGACCAGGTGGGTCCCCTTACCTATGTAGCGTGTGGCCTCATCCATCTCCCCACCGAAAGCTATCTTCTGTCCTTCCAGCAGACTCTGTATTCTCTTAAAATGACGAAGATTGACGATCCTCTCATAGTCGGGAGATTCTTTTATATTTTCTCCATAAAATTCCTGTGTCAAACAACAGTATCTAGTCATCACCAAAAACCCACGTTTTAATTTAGTAGTTATAAAATTCACTTGTGTCCCCAGATCTGGCTTTACACCCTCACAGAATCCCATGCCATCCCCCCACCCCCCAGCCCCCGAGGACTTTAACAGTAGTGAGGTTAAGTTCTCTGTGAGGCAAATGGCAGTAGTTTACAGACACACAAGTCTCCCATTTCCCACAGTTTCTGAGGTTAGTGTGGGTTCTTCCTAGGGTGGACGCGGAGTGGGTACTGCAAGTCGTGGCCCATATCAGGGCCCCATGTGCATCCCTGTCAACTCTGGCTGCTCTGCTCCTACGAGGAGCTGAGTGGTGGCCTGCAGAACCTGGAGCACAGCCTGTGCAGCCCTTTGCAGAAAGAGTCTGCCGGGCTTCATGCTGCTTCCTCCTGGCCTAGAACCTCCACCAGCCACAGACAGTTGGGAAACAACTCAGAAGATCAAAGCACAGTCTGGGTAAACCAATCTCCATGGCTCACAGTCAGCCCCGTGGGCGCGCTCCATCTCCCCTGACCACTGTTCATTCCCCCCATCAGCCTTGAGCTGGCTGGTAAGAACATCCCAGGCAGCCTGTGGAAACACAGGGTCTTGGGTCCCTACACCGGAGACACAGGAGTTGGTGCCAGCTGTACCTGAGTGTCACCTGGAGACCCCAGACCTCCTGTGGAGGGGAGGACAGGAAACTTCTCCTAAATCGCGCCTAGTGACTCTCAGGCGACAAGCAGGGTGGTGAGAGGAGAAATGCCTCCAGGAAGACAGGGACCGTCACTCCCAGGAAACCTGGCTTATCACCATGCACCCCCAGCACAACTTCTCCAGCCACAGTGTCTCCCTGGAGTCTAGCCAAGACCCCTCTCATGCTGTCCTTGTCCGACCCACCACAGTCCCACCACTACATCCATGTCAAGACCCGCGGCCCCTCGCTGCTCACGTTGTCTCTCCTGGTTGTCCGTGAGCCACCTCTCAGGGCTCGGTCAGCGCCCGGGGAGTGAACCATGGTTGTCCCAGGAGCTTCTTCACCCAGGAGGCCCATGACCCGGCGCCATCACTGAGCTATCAAAACTCCATCCCATCCTTCCTCCAGTCCAAGTCCCTCATTTCTCCTGGCTCACCTGGGGCCTTCCTTGATCCCCGCCCGAGACTGCCACTTGAAACACCCTCAAAGATTGAGGGCTGCGTTAAGAGTAGGTAATTCACTTGCTCCTCGAAACAGCTGGCTTTGCTAAACTGCCTACACACCGAAGATCAGATGAGCTTGATGGGCAGTGGCCACACATCAGGGATCCTTGACTGCGCTGCAGAAGCCTGACAGCCTTCTCCCCAGACCATAGAATCGCTGCTGAACTGTTTTTTTCTAAAGCCTGTGCTGCACCTAAGGAGTTATCCTCAACAAATGAGCTGGATGGTTTTTGGCGTGCATACCACCAGCCTCACCTCGCTCTCAGCAAACGTTCTCCAAAAACATTTTCTCATCAACCAGGAAGTTCAGTCACAGCTGCTACTGGAATGTTCAAGGGGGGAGGGGATGGGGAGCTGCTGCCCGCAAACAGCCAACCTCACCCTGCACCCCGAGGCAGCCAGTGCAACCAGAGGCGGTAAACACGCACCTTCACGGCCTCCTGCACCTTCTGCACGATCAGGTCCTGGAGGGATGGCTCACAGAGCACGTAGTCAGGGGCGATGCAGGTCTGACCACAGTTCATGAACTTGCCCCAAGCGATGCGTCTGGGAAAAGCACCAGCAGCTGCATTCAGTCCCTGCACCTGCCACCCACGCTGTGCTGTTTACCAACAATGCTCACACACGTACTTGTGAGTCTTGACTGAACAATGTTTTAATGACTCGTCTCTGTAGCACTTTCAGCTGATGCAGAATATTCTAGGGAACAGGGAAAGCTTTGTGTCTGCTCATCAACAGTACTTTAAATGCAGGGATGCCCCTGCCCACAGCAGGAAAGGACAGAGTGCTGTTTACTGACACCCCCTCCCTCCCCCAACTCCAGCTAGGGGGATGTCTGGGAGGACGGGGTCCCCTGGCTCTGAGAAGCTTTGCCGGAGCTCTGACAGAAATCCATGCACTGGGGTCTCCTGTTCGGGCAGACAGACACCTACCTACAGAGCCCACCAGATCCCGTCCAATGCCCCCACCCCCTCTCCACTGCCTCTCTGAGGGGAAGGGAGCCATGCCGCTCTAGCACTGTCAACTGTGGGTCTGAGCACTTGCTGTGAGCCAAACTGATTCAGCACAGACACCTCCAAACCTTTCACTTTCTAGTTCTCAGACACAAGATGCTCTTCTCAGTTAAAAGATAAGCAGTATCAGTTATCAATAAAGGAACTTAGGAGATCAGCAGAGGGAGTCTAAAGACTTTGCATTATCTACTGTACTTTCTGGATCAGCTACCAGCGGGACAGAAAGATTTCCTGCCTGGTCTATTATCTTGAGAACAGAAAGAACTTGTTTTTCATTCCTAAGGACAGCCGTGTGATGTCAAGGCCTAGTGCTCACCACTTCTGGCCGTGGCACTAAGAGGGAGTGTGTGAAAGTTCTACGCCATCCCCCGGCCCCAAACTAGGAGGACATCAACCCCCAAGGCTCAGCAAGGTCTCTTGGAGCCAGGAGGCACAGAGGACATGCCAGCAGGTTCTTGGCTGAGCTGGGAAAATCCAGGAAACCAGAAAGTCAGTCTCACCGGCAGGCGACGTCCAAGTCACAGTCTCGGTCTACATAGCACGGGCTCTTCCCTCCCAGTTCAAGGGTCACAGGGGTCAGATGCTTGGCAGCAGCCTGCATAACAATTTTTCCAACAGTGGTGTTTCCCGTGTAGAGAATGTGGTCAAATCGCTGCTTCAGAAGCTCTGTGGTTTCCTCGACACCACCATTAATGACGGCATACAGGTCCTGAAGGAAGGAGACAGATGCAAGCATCACCGACTTCATCCTGTCGTCCGATGTAAACACCTAACATTCCACTAAACCAGGAAAAGGTAGAGACTGGCCCTGGTGAGGATGGGCGGGGGAGTCTGATGGCACCCGAGAAATCTCGACCTGTGGCAGAACTGGCCAGAGAGACCAGCATTTCCATCTCAGCCTCGCAAGGACACAAAGGAGAAGAGGGATCCCACCTGGGACATGCAGAGCTGGGGGCAGGGCGAGGGGAGGATGACAGGGACGTGGCTGCTGTGGGTGAGCATAGGACAGGCCCTGGGCACGTCCACCTGGACATCCTTCCTGAACTCAGCTCAGTGCAGGGGCTTAGACCACCGGAAGACCAAGGGACGTCTGAGCCTGAACACGTGTGAAACCCGGTGAGGGCTCCCAAGCTCGGGCCCACTGCTCCTATGCCCGCTGGCTGGGGGCCTCACAGCTGCCTCCCTGACAGTCCCCAAGGACCCCCTCCCCTCAGAGGTAAGCAGCATCACAACCTTGTCCGCCTTGCACCAGACCCCTGATGGTTTTCTCTACACAGCTTCTGACACTCTTCACTGCCAGGACTTTAACCCAGAGTTAGGGGCCAGCTCCAGGTCAGCATGCCATTTCTTTCTGTGGTTTTCAGGCCACAAACTTGTCCATTTAAACCCGGACATGCTCTCATGCAACTGAACCTCGCTAGGAGCACCTGGCTCAGCCCCAGTCCCTCATCAAACAACTCACTACGTGGATACACCTAAGATCACAGCAGATCCAACAACGGTTAACTCAGAACACCACACAGCAGGGGACGCTCTCTGAGCAGCAGAGGTGCTGATAAGCCCAAGGGCCTGAAAAGACTGTAACCACAGCAGCTGAACGATTCCAGTTTGTCTTGGACGTCACTTCTCTTGTCAGGACAATTGTGGGAGGCTTAGGGAAATGGGGCATGAAGGCCCAACCACCAAACAACGGTGACGGGAAGAGCGGGTGCCTGTTCCCCCCGACCAACAGACAGACATGCATGCCAGGGAGGGGTACTCTCACCTGGTCCAAGTACTGAGGGAGGAGCTTAGCCAAGAGCTTGGCTGTATTCTCACTTACTTCAGAAGGCTTGATAATCACAGCATTTCCTAAACAGAACAGAAAGCAGGACAGCATTATCAAGTACCTGAGTGACTAACAGCCGCCCAGATGGTGCTGATGTGTGGAGCGCAGGCTAAGGGTCACTCCTCTGTCTGTGCTCGGCCTTGCTCACCGCGGGCCTGAGCGTCACCCCACTGCCTCCTTCCCAGGGGCTGACGCCTCCATTCTCACCCTCCAGGTCCCAGCAGCCTCCTTATATGGCTTCCAACGTTCCCACATTACTTTCACTCCCACTCTTGGGTTTTCCTGTTTGCCCTGGGATTACTGCACAAATATGAGCCTTTTCAACATGAAGCTGTTAATATGGATCCTGGAGAACTGAGAAATTAATCCCGTGGCACTTGCTGTGAGCCATGGAGCATGACTTCCACAGCCCTTAATTGAATGCAGAAACTGGTCAGACAGAATCCAACTGATTCATCCAAAGCCAGAGGTGGTGGCTGAAACCACCTGGGAATATGGATGTCTGACTCTTGACCTGGTCTGCGGACTCACGCGTGCCTCTCCACCCGCAGGGGTTCCCTCTCCAGGGCTCCGGAAAGCAGTGGCCACACAAACCTCTGGAGCCCACTAAACAAGTAAGAATAACGCTTATGACTTCTCAATACACTGCTGGCTTACACTAAGGCAAGCCAGCACAGCAAATGCATTTAACTAGACACGCTCCTTAAGGTGCAACAATGGCATGGGGACACAAGCTGACCCCAGACCTGCAGCAATGGCTCCTATCAGGGGCTGGATGGTGAGTGCAAAGGGGTAGTTCCAAGCTCCGATAATCAGTACAACCCCCAGGGGCTCTGGCTGGATGTAGGCCTCGTCCAGCATGGTGAGCAGGTTCCTCTGAGCTGGTTTAGCAGCAGCCCATTCCGGAAGCTTCTCCAGCATGAGATCAATTTCTCCAAGCACAGAAATGACTTCTTGACTGTATGCGTTGAATTCGCTCTGTCACAAGAGGATATAGTTAACCTTCATGGGTATGACATACTCAAGCAAGGGAATCCCCTGGTGGTCCAGTGGTTAGGACTCTGCTCTTCCACTGCAGGGGGGCATGGGTTCAATCCCTGGCCCAGGAACTAAGATCCCATAAGCCACACAGAGGTGTATAAAGAAACAAAAGTGCTGGGCCAGGCATACCTGTCAGACAGGCTCGTTTGCTATGGAGATTTCTCCACACCCTTCAAGTCCACAGTGCATGTCTGCTAAGTCACTTCAGTTGTCTCCAACTCTGCAGTCGTCCAGGTTCCCCTGTCCATGGGATTCTCCAGGCAAGAATACTGGAGTGGGTTGCCATGCCCTGCTCCAGGGGAATCTTCCTGACCCAGGGATCGAACTTGCCTCTCTTATGTCTCCTGCACTGGCAGGCAGGTTCTTTACCACTGAGTGAAAGTCACTCAGTCGTGTCCAACTCTTTGTGACCCCATGGACTATACAGTCCATGGAATTCTCCAGGCCAGAATACTGGAGTGGGTAGCCTTTCCCTTTTCCAGGGGATCTTCCCAACCCAGGGATCGAACCCAGGTCTCTCACATTGCAGGCAGATTCTTTACCAGATGAGCCACAAGGGAAGCCCTTTATCACTAGCACCACCTAAAGCCCATAATATGCACTCATTAACTCCCTAATATATTCAGTTTCTCTAAATCCTTCTTTACTGATCCAAGACATTTAAACTCAGGCTTAAATGGTCCCTAATTAATAATCGTGTGCCCTAATCTCACTTTATAAGCCACAGTAATTATGCTTTCACCCATATCTTAATATTTCACCCTTAATACAGTGCCTTACAACTGTAGTTTCACTTTGGGCATGTTTTGTTTCTGTACCAAATTTAACACTCTTAAGGGCAAGGAATTTACTGTACTTTTTTTATTTTAAAGTCATGTCTGACTCTTTGCGACCCCATGGACTGTATAGTCCATGGAATTCTCTAGGCCAGGATACTGGAGTGGGTAGCCTTTCCCTTCTCCAGGGGATCTTCCCAACCCAGGAATCAAAACCAGGTCTCCCACACTGCAGGAGGATTCTTTACCAGTTGAGCCACAAAGAAAGCCCCGTACTTCTTTCACAATCCTTAAGAAACACACTCAGAAATGCTGGTAGAGCGAACGATTCAGACTTCTTGCTTCAGACTACTTAATCCACCTTCTGTGACACAGTGCTTCTCCACCACAAGTAAATTTTATAGCTCTGTTGTTACTACTGGTGGTGGTGGTGGTGTTCAGTCACTAAGTTGTTTCTGACTCTTGTGACCCCACGGTCCATGGGATTTCCCAGGTAAGAATCCTGAAGTGGGTTGCCACTTCCTTCTCCAGGGGACCTTCCCAACTCAGGGATCTGATCTTCATCTTCTGCACTGCAGGTGGATTCCTTACTACTGAGCCACCAGGGAAGCCCACACTTCTCATGTTTCTACTCCTTAAAATAATCTTTAGGGGGAAGTGAGGGATGGAGCCTCGCAAAGCCAGAGCAAGGCCTTGCTACCCCCAGAATAAAGAGGAAAAAACTGAAAAACAGAATAGTAACAATAGTATTATATAACACAGGTGATAGTATTTAAACCCTAAACACTCGCCCAAAACCTTGCTACTGAAAGCAGGGTTCCAGAACAAGGCAGCCGTGGTATCATCCGGGGACCTGTTACAAACTCGGGCTCTCTCAGAGTCCCCCCAAACCCCACCCGACCCTCGGAAGCATCGTCCGCCTTTAACAGGTCCCGGGTAACTGGTGGGTGCACAGATCTGAATCCTAAAGTCGTGGTGGAAAATCTGAGCGCGACCAGCAGCCACAAAGTTGAAAGACAGCTATCCGGCCCAGAAGTTGCTTGAATGACCCAATCCTGGGAGAGGGGGTAGGGGTGGGGTCAGGTCCGGGCGCACCTTGCTCAGGTCCGCACCGATGGCCGCCAGGATGTCCTTCTCGCGCTCCTGGATCATCGCGCGCAGGGCCTCAAGCTGCCGCCGCCGGAACGTCAGGGGGCGAGAGTGGCCGGAGCTGAAAGCCGCGCGAACCCGCTGAACCTCGCGCTCCATGGCCGGTCCTACGGGAACAGGGGATATCGAGCGCCGTAGGCGGCGGGCGGGCACGACGCGGGGCCGCGGGGCCATGCCGCCCCATCCTCGCCCTCCACCCGGTCCCAGGCCCACAGCTCCCGGCCCACGCCGCACCTCAGTCCGCGACGCGCCGACTCAGCCGACGCCAACTGCCCGGCCGACGCCCAGACATCAGGGCTCTGCCCCGAGTCGCGCCGATTGGCCGGCGCGGCCCACGTAACCCCCGCGGGCCGGACACTGTGCGGGCCCCGCCCCCAGCCGTCGGCTGGCGCGCGGGGGAGGAAAACGCGTGGGAGCTGGTATTGGAGGGGACCTCGGGCCGGCGGGACTGCAACTGCGCCGGCGCCTGCGCCTGCGGCGCGCGGTTCAGACCTCGCAGACCTGGCCCCGCGCCAAGCGGCCCTGGAGGCGGCTCTTGGCCGCCCGCACCGCTCTTTCCGGGCACCGAGTCTCTCGGACTCGTCACGCAAGTCAGTGCCCTGCGGCATCTCTTCTTCCTTTACCTGCCGCTCTCCGCCGCTCCCACCCTCCGGTCGCTGTCCCCTCCCTTCCCCCACCCCAGTCCCTCCCCCACCCCGAGTCCCTGTCCCCTTCCGCACCCCCATCCTGAGTCTCTGTCCCTCTTCCCCTCCCCAAGTCCCTGACCCCTTCCCCCCAGAGGGCCCGGACTCCGGCTCCCCCTGCGCCCACGGTGACAGAGCCTGCTGCCGATGGGTGCTCACCTCACTCTCCTCACCTGTGCAGGTTGGAGGAACTTTCTGGCTCGTTCCTGCCTTCACTGGGACTTTATCGGCCTGTCACGTGGTTGCTTATCGTTTCCGTGAGCTTGGACTCCTCAGGGAGAGAACCCTTTATCCGGAGGTGGACTCTGTCTCAGGATGGGGAAGTCTGCCGCCTTCCGGGGATGCTGATGCGTTGCTGATGCTTCTCCAGAGGCGAGCTTCCCTCCCAGCCGCGGGGTCTCCGGTGAAACCTTCAAGGGCCCTATCGCGTCGCCTGTTTGATGTGTGCTCTTTTCCTGACAATATACAAAACTGTGCTTCTGCACAGCGCTTTCCTTCATGTGGGGATTGCCCATCTGGGCTACAGCCCTAGGTGTGACCAGGGAAAAAAACAACTCTCTTCTAGTTTTATGAGCAAACTCGTTGGAAAAGACCCCGATGCTGGGAAAGATTGAGGGCAGGAGGAGAAAGGGACAACAGACAATGAGATGGTTGGATGGCATCGCCAACTCAATGGACATGAGTCTGAGCAAACTCCTGGAGATAGTGAAGGACAGGGAAGCCTGGTGTGCTGCAGTCCATGGGGTCGCAAAGAGTCAGACGTGACTTAGTGACTGAGCGACAACACAGACTTGTGAGAGAGGTTGTTTACTGATCTCTTGCCTCCACACTCAGCTGCAGCTGATTGTTGCCATCTCCTGGAGGCCGGCTTTACTTGTTTGCCTGTTTGTGGTGGTCTGTGTGTGTGTTTGACTTTGCTTGTTTGTGTTCTTCTGGTTTTCCTTTGTTTCCCTCAGAGTCCTTTGGGTCTTTCTTTGCCGGATCTCTTCTTCCAGGCCTCCTGAAGTTCTGGTGCCTGAGGACTCAGTCCTTGGGCCTCTTCTCTTTCCTCAGTCACAACGTCATCTAATCTCGTGGACGGTGTTAGAGAAGGTTTTCAATTCCATCTGGTCCCACCCTTTTCTTTGAACTCCAGTAGGCATGTTCTCGGAGAAGGCAATGGCACCCCACTCCAGTACTCTTGCCTGGAAAATCCCATGGACGGAGGAGCCTGGTGGGCTGCAGTCCATGGGGTCGCGAAGAGTTGGACACGACTGAGTGACTTCACTTCCACTTTTCACTTTCATGCACTGGAGAAGGAAATGGCAACCCACTCCAGTGATCTTGCCTGGAGAATCCCAGGGACAGCGGAGCTTGGTGGGCTGCCGTCTGTGGGGTTGCACAGAGTTGGACATGACTGAAGCAACTTAGCAGCAGCAGGCATGTTCAACTCTATCCCTTTCATACTGGCATTCATAATAGGCGGGTTGAAGGTGACCATGGATACAATTGCTGGTTTATTTTAATTCATGAAATACACTGCAGAACTCCTTCAGTGTCGCCAGTCTCAGTAAAGGGTACCATCGTTTATCCTTTTTATTTAGGCCAAACTCCTTAGGTTATCCTGATTCTTTGGCCAAGCTTGTTGATCTGAGCACATCTGCCCTAGTTTAAGCCATGATAAATCTTACCTGCACCTTATGGAACCTTCCACTGGGTTCCCTGCTTCTGCTGCTGACTCTGGGAAATTGCCATTTCTTGTCCTCCACTTGCCCTTTTGTAACCTTCACCACAGACTCCCAGCATGTGTGAACTGTACTTTCCCAGGTTCCCACACCTGCTGGCTTTCAGTGGTTTCTGCCTCTGGAGGCATGAGCAAGAGTGAGCAGGGTGAGGAGGAAGGCAACTTTTTGCTTCTGGGTTCTGCAGTGTGGTGGTTGCCGGCCGTTCTTGTAGTGGAAATGGAGCAAGGATGGTTACTCCCTTGGCCAAGGGGGCTGTGTCTAGTAGACACAGAGTGACAGTGACAGACTCTCCAGGTGGCACAGGTCCTGGTGCAGCCCCCTGGGTTCCTTCCAGCCAGGGGTATTCTTAGCAATACCCATCTGTCCTGTAGTCTCTTACTGTTTAGATTCCCTCTGCCTGCAGTAGGTTGAGTGGTTTCTCTTTTCACGTCTGGATTCTGACTTTGTTGCAGCCTTTCTCCACCCAGCTGTCAGTCATCAAGACCCTTGACCCTGTTAGTTCCCTGCTCAAAGCTTTCCATCGGCTTCCTGGACATTTAGAGTAAAATCCAAAACTGACACCGTATTCAACAGCCCTGTGTGTCCTGCCTGCAGCCTCCTCTCCAGCCTGGTTCCAAGTGATTCTCCCACTGAGTGGAGTGATTGCTTCATTGTTCACAGAACGGGAAGCACGTCCCCACTCAGGGGCTTTGCTCCCAGCTCTTTCCTCGGCCTGGAGTGCTTAGCTCACCTAACTCCATCTCTGGTTAAATGTAACCTTAAAGAAAACTTTTCTTAAAAAAGAAAAGAAAAGTTGTAGTCTCCAGCACATACCAGTGTTTAAGCCAACTCCATCCCTGAGGGTTGCCTGTACCCAGCAGGCTTACAATCTCAGGTCAGTGAAGGATCCTCCTGCTGTCCCAGGGCAGGGCATTCCCGGGAGACTGTCCCAAAAGAGATGGAGGAAAGCCAAGAAGCATTTAAAATGCTGAATCTGTTTTCTTAATTTTATTTTTGGAGTATAATTGCTTTAGAATGTTGTGTTAGTTTCTGTTGTACAACAAAGTGAGTCAGCCATGTGTATACACAGTGAAAATCCTCTTTGGATTTTTTTCCATCAGCAGACAGTTCAGTCGCTCAGTCGTGTCCAACTCTTTGCGACCCCATGGACTGCAGCACGCCAGGCTTCCCTGTCCTTCAGCATTTCATGGAGCTTACTCAGATTCATGTCCTTCGAGTCAGTAATGCCATCCAACCATCTCATCCTCTGTCGTCCTCTTCTCCTCCTGCCTTCAATCTTTCCCAGCATCAGGGTCTTTTCCAATGAGTCAGTTCTTTGCATCAGGTGGCCAAAGGATAGGAGCTTCAGCTTCAGCATCAGTCCTTCCAATGAATATTCAGGACTGATTTCCTTTAGGGTTGACTGGTTGGATCTCCTTGCAGTCTAAGGGACTCTCAAGAGTCCTTTTCGACACCACAGTTCACAGGCATCAATCCTTTGGTGCTCAGCTTTCTTTATAGTCCAGCTCTTACATCCATACATGACTACTGTAAAAAAAAACCATAGCTTTGACTAGACAGACCTTTGTTGGCAAAGTAATGTCTCTGCGTTTTAATATGCTGGCTAGGTTGGTCGAAGCTTTTCTGCCAAGCAGCAAACATCTTTTAATTTCATGGCTGCAGTCACCATCTGCAGTGATTTTGGAGCCCAAGAAAATAACGTCTGTCCCTGTTTCCATTGTTTTCCCATCTATTTGCCATGAAGTAATGGGACCAGGTGCCATGATCTTTGTTATTTTTTGAATGTTGAGTTTTAAGCCAGGTTTTTCACTCTTCTCTTTCAGTTTCATTAAGAGGCTCTTTAGTTCCTCTTCACTTTTTGCCATAAGGGTGGTGGTGTCATCTGCATATCTAAGGTTATTGATATTTCTCCCGGCAGTCTTGATTCTGGCTTGTGCTTCATCCAGCCTGGCATTTCACATTATGTACTCTGCATACAAGTTAAATTAACTTGACAATATACAGCCTTGATGTACTCCTTTTCCTATTTGGAACCAGTCTGTTGTTCCATGTCCAGTTCTAACTGTTGCTTCTTGACCTGCATACAGATTTCTTAGGAGGCAGGTAAGGTGGTCTAGTGTTCCCATCTCTTGAAGAATTTTCCACAGTTTGTTGTGATCCACGCAGTCAAAGGCTTTGGCGTAGTCAATAAGGCAGAAGTAGATGTTTTCCTGGAACTCTCTTGCCTTTTCTATTATCCAACAGGTGTTGGGAATTTGATCTCTGGTCTTTCTGCCTTTTCTAAATCCAGCTTGAACATCCGCAAGTTCTTGGTTCACATTCTGTTGAAGCCTCACTTGGAAAATTTTGAGCATTACTTTGTTAGCATTTGAGATGAGTGGAATTGTGCAGTAGTTTGATCGTTCTTTGGTGTTGCCAGCAAAGACAAGTGCTAACATAGGCCTTTAGTGACAGCACAGCGATGTCAGACAAACTTTCAAAGTGTGGGCAAAACCTAATTCTGGAACTGTTGCAATGTTTACATTGGCTCAGAGTTCACCGCAAATCACCCTTTTTGATCTGATATTAAACTTTGAGCAATATAAATGTTTCGTAGGGGCCTGGGTAAACTGGTCTATGAGTCTCACCACAGTTTTTTTAAACATAAACAATGAACAGAATACCAACGTGAAAATAGAACAGGAACCAGTGTCAGCTAAGGTAGGTTATGCCCTGAGTAGCCAAGGGCTGCTTCTCCTGCTGAGGGTTAGACCTTAGGATCTTAAGAAGAATCTGTTGTGATTCTAATATTAGGCAACATCACTGAGGTTTGACTCCTCACCCACTCTTGAACATTTTTTTTTTTAAATCAGAGAAATCAGTTGATGGCATTTTGTTGGGCATATTTTAAAACTGTTCAAATTCTTCTTTGTGTGGTTTTCTAAAATTGAAGTATAGTTGATTTGCAATATGTTGTTAATTTCTGTTGCACAGCAAGGTGATTCGGTTTTGTGTATATATACATTATATATATATATATACATTTTTTTTTTTTTTTTGCTGTGTGTCTTGTGGGATTTTAGTTCTCTGACCAGGGATTAAACCCAGGCCCTTGGCAGTGAAAGCACAGACTCTTAACCACTGGACCACCAGGGAATTCCCTATATATATTCTTTTTTTTTAATATTCTTTTCCATTATGGTTTGTTACGGGATATTGAGTATAATTCCTTGTGCTATACAGTAGGACATTGTCTATCCATTCTTTGAGTAATACTTTGTAGCTGTTAATTCCTTCCTCCCAGTCCATCCCTCCGATCTTCAACTCCCATGTCACAGTTCTATAAGCTAATCAATTTTTAAATGTCAGGGACCCAGCATTAGAATTGAATTTTTTTGCCACTGACTACTAAGAGACCTGAATGTGATGGAGAGACTTGCCACATTTCAGTTAATTCTGTTATCCAGGTCCTTAGGTCAAATCCACTGTGGGGTGAAAGGAGTTAAAAGATGTTAACAGTTTTAAAAACACGTCTGTGGTCAGTACACTCCTTGCAGTGG